ACTTGATGCCCTAGTATAGGAAAACACTTAGGGTGGTGAGGTGGGGGTGGGTGGGACACCCTCATAGAAGCAGGGGGAAGAGGAATGGGCTAGGGGGTTTGCAGAGGGGAAACTGGAAAGGGGGATAACATTTGAAATGTAAATAAATAAAAAACCAATAAAAAATATGTGTAAAAAGGAGCTGTTGGGCACATTTCTCTTTATGAGTGTTTATGCCAGCTGCATTTTGTATATTATTTTAGCAGCTGCCACACCACTGTAAGACATGCTATCGTCACTTTACTGTTCATTATCAAAGGAAGTCAGGACAGGAACTCAAACACTGGCAGAAACCTGAGACGATGGAGGAGCGCTGCTTAATGGTTTCCTCCCTATGTCTTGTGCTTGGTTAGTTTGCTTTCTTATAGAACCTGGACTACAAACCCAGAAGCGGCTCCATACTCAATGGGCTAGGCCTCCACCTCCATCACTGATTAAGAAAATGTCTTATAGGCTTGCCTACAGCCTGGTCTTATAGAGGCATCTTCTCCACTGTGACTCCCACCTCTCTGATGATTCTAGCTTGGGTCAAATTGACATGAAATGAGGCAGCACACTTGGTTATGTGCACATAGCTACTCTCACTCTGCAGAACATGCTTTTTCAGCAGTAGCATCACACTTCAAGTTTCTCAGTTCACACAGGTTGAGCATGGTGAAACTAGACTTGAACTCACATATGCCTTGACTTCTAAGCCTGTGGGTGATGTCCTCTATAAAAACTATCTTAAAGCAAACAAAACAAAACAAAACAAAACAAAAAACATGGTTTTTCTAGCATAGAAAACAATAGTCCTGAAGGCTTAATTTTAAAGGTAACTTCTCATTAGTTTTTTCTAGTAATGAATTCTTATGATAGTCACCTTCAAGAATTTTTAGAAATAGCTAAGAGGGGAGATTACTGCATTTATATTACTAAGAAGGCATCACATTATATTTGAATAAAAACAAGAAGCATAATAACAACAACAATAATAGCATTTATAATTTATATCACATCCGTCCTCTGCTGCTTTATGTTCTTTATCTGTACTGATTTAACACAATCATCTATTGACAGGAGATATTGTCATTCTCAGAGACAGAGATGAGGAAGTGGATACAGAGATTAAGCCACTTCTCTAAGGTTAACATTACCTAGTTTGGGAAATCCTCACTGGGATTTTACTGCAACGTAATATATTTAGTGGGTCAAACTCAATGCTGATCCTGGCCTTAAAATTAAAAGTACAATACAGCTAGCCTATCTATGCTTTGTAGGTAGACTAAAACACAATTTGTTTCAAAAGTGTTTAACATTATTATACATGTTCAGAGTATTAGAGCGTCTAATACTCTGAACATGTTAGCTTGTGTGTATATTGATCTGCATTTACATTTTAGGGCTGTCGATGGCTACTTCCAAAGTTCTTCAAGCAACTTTCAAATTGGGGAACTCAGTATGCTAAAAACTGAAATTCTTTAAATTTACTTGAGAAAAATATCCCATCCAAGTTCAATATCATTAAAAACAAAGCATGGGTCACTTAAGGGTAAATGCTTTTCATTAGCTTTTCTCTGTAAGAGGAATCACATACAGTGAGTAAACAGTGATGAGCAAGTAGGTCAGTGTGCTGCCCACCAGTGACGAGCAAGAATACCAGCATAGTGGGGCAGGGTGCTGCCCGTCAGTGGTGAGCCATTGTGGTTTCAAAGGTAAAGAGAGGGCTGCATTTCAACTACTTAGTTCTAACATATGTGTGTGCTACAACTCTGCCTTCAGAGGTCTTTATAAACTGAGCTGTGTTAGTACTAGTCACTAATTTTCTATAAGCCATCATCACAGATGCTTTCATCAGCATTAGTGGGAACACTTATGCTTGGAAGGAAAGCAACCAAGTTTACTAGATTTGAAAATACACAATCAGCATTTCCAACATACTTACTTTTATAACTGACCAAAAAATTCTTTTAATCCTGATCAATCATCCTCTGCTTACTTTGACAGGCTGGGATGGCAAGGAAACATCTGTGGGGCAAAGACTGCTTCTGGGTTTGCGAAATTGGCTTCTTTGTTTTTACCCCTGCTCCCACAAACATCACAAAACCTTGATATTTCTCTATCTCCCAGAAGAAAAGTTGAAAAATAAAGCCCAGAACTATTATTGTTTAATGTAAGAAATAGCTTATTTTAATTAAATTTGATAAACTAGATGACATCTTAATTTGTGAAAAAGTGAGAAAGAAAAGTTTTAAATTATTCCAACACATTTTTGTTATTATTTTCCCTCAAAGGATGGAGACTTTTGGTCTTTTGTTTGGTGTTCAGTGACCTGCTCTGGAACAGTTTTAAGAGCATTTACTATTATTACACACTTGTGCCTGCCTGAAAATATTGACACCATCAGTGGAGCCGGGAAAAAAACACAGAACCAGAAAATTGCAAGAAAATGTAAAATTTTTGTATTAAAAACAAACCAGAAACATTTAAAAAATTTAAAGAAATGTTCAATGTTCTTAGTCATCAGGGAAATTAAAATCAAAATGACTCTGAGATTTCATCTTATACCAATTAGAATGACTGAGATCAAAAACTTAAACTGACAGTTCATGCTGGGGAGGATGCTGAGCAAGGGGAACACTCCTCCACTGCTGGTGGGAGTGCAAACTTCTACAGCCACATCGACTTGGTGGTTTCTCAGAAAATCTGGAGTAGTTTTACCACAAGACCCAGCTGTATCACTCCTGGGCATATACCCCCAAAATGCCCAAGTATACCACAAGGACACTTGGTCAACTATGTTCATAGCAGATTTATTTGTAAAAGACAGAAACTGGAAGCAACCTAGATAGATGTCCCTCAACTGAATAATGGATACAGAAAATGTGGTTAATTTACACAATGGAATATTATTCAGTGATTCAGAACAAGGACATCATTAAATTTGCAGGCAGATGGATAGAACTAGAAAATATCATCTTGAGCGAGGTAATCCAGTCCCAGAAAGACACACATGGTATATACTCACTTATGAGTGGACATTAGCCATGAAGTACAGGATAATCATGCCATAGTCTACAGACCCAAAGAAACTAATTAATAAGGAGGGCTCAAGGGAGAATGTGTGAATCTCACTCAGAAGGGGAAACAAAATAATCATGGGGTGGATGAAAAGAGGGAACTGGGAGGGAGAGGAGGTGAGGAGAGGGACAGGTATACTGACCAGGTGGATCAGGTGTGGGTGGGGAGGCAGGAGAGGGCTGGGAGTGAGAATGGAAACCAGTGGGGGGGGGCATTGCCACGAGTAATGCAGACCTGGACTGGGGAGTCTACAGGAGTCTATGGGGGTGACCTTAGCTGATTCCTACCAGTGGAGGATATGGAGACTCAAGTGCCCACCTCCTGTAGTCAAGCAGGACTTCCAGTGGAGGAAGGTGAACGCCAATCCACCCACAAAACCTTCAATCTAAAACTTATCTTGCCTACAAGATGCACAGCAATGGAAGGCTGGCCCAACTTGAAACCCATCCTATGTAAGAGAGCCAACCCCCGACATTCTGCTCCACTTGCAGACAGGAACCTAGCATAACTGTCCCCTGAGAGACTTTATCCAGCAGCAGATGCGAACAGCTCTAGAGACCCAAAGCCAAATATCAGGAAGAGCTTGGAGAGACTTGTAGAAGAGTGGGGATAGAATTGAGTGAGCTGGAGAGGTCAAGGACACCACAAGAAGACCTAGAGAGTCAACCAATCTGGGCTCATGGGGGCTCACAGAGCGTGAACCTCCAACCAAAGAACATTCATGGGCTGGACTTAGGCACCCTACATGTTTAGAGCGGATGTGTAGCTTGGTCTTCACGTGGGCCTCTAACAACTGCAGTGGGAACTGTCTGGCTCTGTTCCCTGCCATTAGATCCCCTTCCCCTAACTGGATACTTACTGCCTGGTTGGGCTTCAGTGGGAGAGGAGGTGCTTAGTCCTGCTGGGACTTAATGTCCCAGGGCAAGGAGGCCCCAAAGGGGGGCTTCCCCTCCTCTGAGGAGAAGGGAAGGGATATTAGAGGGAGGAGGGACTGTGATGGGGATGTAAAGTGAATAATAAATAAATTAATGAAAAAGGTTTATTTTTATTTTGTTTATGAGTGTTTTCCTGCATGCATGTATATGTACCACATGTGTGTTTCATGCTCATAGAGGCAGGAGGAGGGCACTGGATCCTTTAGAACTGGAGTTACAGATGGTTGTTAGTCACCATGTGAGTGCTGGGAACCAAACCTGGGTTTACATGAGCAGCAAGGACTCTTAAGAACTGAGTCTTTTCAGTTCAAATTTTTTATCTTAAAAACATTTAGCTCCTCCCATACCTTGCAGATGCATTCTCTCTTCGGGAACCACATAAATCTTATCTTTTCAACACCAAGAATGAAACCATAGCTGTCCTCTGTATTTCTGCATGGAAATAGTCTTCCCAAGGGTTTCAAACTTCTTGTAAATATCTCATACAGCTTAGTCAGTATCTTATATTACATAACATATTTCTATAAAGTTTGGGTTATTTCCCTTTAAGGACAGTATGTCCTCCTCTTAAACTTGTCAAGTTGTTACCAAGCAGCTGTGGCTAGAAGGGAGCGAAGTTCCATGTGAATTACCATCCTTATATAAACATGTTTTCAAACACCTTCCTGAGTGGCCTTTATTTACTCTCTATCAGCTGAAGATAAATGGATGGGTCCTAAGCAAAGGGTAAATATGTTACGCCCACAGCCATGACCTTTTCCCCTTCTGCTGGCAGTACAGGGATGGAAATAATCCACAGTGGCTTAGTCTGCCCCACGCTGGCCTCTGCATTCCTAGGCTAGCAAAAAGCACTGCCTATCCTGACCATCAAAACAGGGTCCAAGCAGAATGATTTTCTCACGTGAAGATAGCACATTACTTTATAGTCAAAATTGCATTTAGTAATTCTTTCATTTAGACACATACCTGGTAAGTCAGAGAAGAGAAGGATGCATTCGTTGAAGCCATTAGCCAAAAGACGGTCCCGTAGCTGCTGGAGGATGGCTACTCCAATGCAGAATGGGAAAGAGGAATTTCCGAGCAGTAATGTATCCCAGAGGTGGAAAATTTTGTGCAGTGGAAATACATCTGTAGGAAGTTGTATAAAATATACTTAAACAAAATCCAAATTTGTCAAAAATACTAACAGCTGGATACTAAATATATGATTATTATTACTTCAAGGTCATATTGTTACTTAAGAGTTAATGTGTTAAACTGTGCTGATAAAATGCTTGACTGTAAAGATATTTAAAAAAAAAATTTCCTCCCCCGACCCGTCTCTCTGTGTGTGTATATATGTGTGTAAGTGTATGTGTGTGTGCATGTGCATGCACCTATGGAGAGTATCCTGGAGCCTGAGTGACAGATATCTGTGAGCTACCCAATATGGGTGATAGGAGCCAAGTTCTGGTTCTCTGCAAAAGCAGTAAGTTATTTTCTTAACTGTTCAGCCAACTCTCTAACCCTGACTTCATTAATTTACAGCTTCCTAAAGTGCTTTAAATTGATATCAAATTTGTCAAAGTTTACATTTTTTGAATCCCACTAAAAATTGGTATATTTCACTCAGAAATTTTCTCCAAAATTTTTAGTAACATTATTTGCACGTTTATATCTGCAGATGAACTTTAGAGCTGCTTTATGTACACAATAAAGTAACATTTCCATTGTCTATCATCACAATTACTTTATCAAATTCCTACCAAAAATCTATTAATTAAAAAAATACAGCGTTATTCTCACTTAATAATACTGTGACTATCTTTCCAGGTGAAAGCATAGACTATCTCAACTGTCATTCCACTTATCATGTGTACTACATTTAAGCATGGCTCTTCATTTACATATACATAACTAAGTCATTACATATTCATATAATATGATTAATTTCTAGAGGATTCTCAGTTTAGGAACTAGAACCATGTATTAAAAGAGGACATCTAGAAAGCAAGCCAATTTAGTTGAAAACTGTCCTCAAAGAGTAATGTTAAATTCTCTTCTTAAAAAGAAGTTATAAGCCACATGAAAAATAGATTTTAGTTTTCTGCCGCATGTTCTTAATATTTAAGGCCAGAACATTTGAAATGTTTGTCTATAAACTATATCATGTAAGAATTTTAAAGAGATGTATATTGTATTTACTTAATATTCTAGTAAATTTAAAATCCTGAGGAAGAATGAGGCTGTGCTTTTGCTGCCACCAAGGGGGATGGTACTTACGAGTAAACATGGTGAGAAACCAAGGGATGGCGTAGAGCTGTGAGCAGAACAGGAAGAAGCCCAGGACATGGATGTGGAGAAAGTAAAAGGCATAATTAGGGTGCTCATCACCAAACTAAATGGTTTAAAGTTCACTGTCTTGTTCTACTCTCGTGACGGGATATGAAAGAATGCAGCTAACTACAGTTATTATCACAATACATTCTATATAGTGGTTATCTGTCTTATATAGGTGGGTGATCCTTTTGTCAGGAATTATCCACAGTGTATCTTTATTTTACCAACAAGTATGCACAATACTATGGCCAAATCAAATGCAGTAATAACACATAAATTTTAAGTGCATAGTTTATAGATGTTAAAGGTCCTTATGATAGTTAATGTTTTGTGTTAAACTGACAGAGTATTAGGATGCTCAGTGAAGTGAATACATATTATTTGGGGATGCATCTTTGAGCATATTTTCAGGTGGAACTAACTTTTAAAAAAGTGTTGAGTAAAGGGGACTGTCCTTCTGGTTTGTATAAGGCATCATCCAGCCCACTGAGGATCCATAGAGTGGAAGGGGGAAAAGAAGAAATCCCCCTTTCTTTTCTGTCTATTTGCTCGAGCTGCAATACTTCATTTCATTCACCCCTGTTCTTGGACTGGGACTATTAATAACAAGCCTTAAAATTAAAATTAATTGTGAGTGAATTCAGGCTACAGTTAAACCAGGACTTATACTGCCAACTTAAAGAAACATCCTTTCAACACCTATCAATTGTAAATTTATGAGGTAAGTAACATACTGTCTTTGTATTGTATACAAGATAGTATGTATTCTATCCAAAGGCTAGTTAAGAACTAAAAGAAAAACTAGTCCATTAAAATATAAATACTATAGCAAAATAATGGACATTGATTTCCGTATCACGTACTTAAGCAGACAGGCTGACAATCCTCTCTAGAGATGTTGCAGATGCAGAAAAGGAAGCTTGGGATATTTAGCTTCAAAGTACCAAGTGTGCATTGTACAAAATAATACAATCTAACAAAGTATAAGTTCTGTATCTCAATTTAAATTAAAAATATGAGGCCAATTTTATCACATTATTTGAATTTTATTTTAAAGATATAACATAAATTACACTACTTGTGACTATTTTGATTGTCATTAAGAATCTTTTGTCAAATTTTACTAATGCTACTATGTGTTAATATAATTCATTCCGAGCATTTTCATTCATTCACTCAACATAAAATGTTTTATGAGATTAAAACAAGATGTATTAAAAGAGACGCATATGCTTTATAGCTATGTAGGAAAACCTCAGAAGTACAGGCTAGGGTATTAATGGCAAAGATGCAGAAACTTGTGTCCTCTTTTATCATGTGGTAGCATTCTTGTGAGTAAAGGTCCTTCCTTCCTTCCTTCCTTCCTTCCTTCCTTCCTTCCTTCCTTCCTTCCTTCCTTCCTTCCATTCAACAAACACTGAACACTTAATACATGCTAAGACTGTTAGCAGGCACTCAGGATGGGCAGTCAGTGACCAGGTAAGTTATAGTTCCAATGTCCACTGATGGCTTCTATGTTCCCAATTCTCTCTGCTAATCTTTGTACCACTCACTCCCACTTTAGGAGAACACAGTTTTTTCTTACTCGGCTCTAGACAACATACTCATTGAGTTTTCTTCTAACTATTCTTACTGCTGTGTATCCATGTTTGTTGTTCGTTTGCTTTTGTTTTTTTCCCCCTGAGTTTCTTTTCACCCTTTTGACTATTAAATACAGAACTGTTACAGCTCAGTTCCCAAAAATTTTACATTGTTTTCTGTTTTTCTTAAAGTACTTAATATAGTATGAAGACTGGAATATTTCAGTTCTACTCCAAGCCCTCCCTCATAAATTCCAAACTTACATTTCAAAATGCCTGTTTATATTTCAATGCATATGCCAAACATTTTCTGTCTGTCTGTGTCTGTCTGTCTGTCTGTCTACAGTCTCTTCATTAATCAACTACCTTTAATTGACCTCTTGAGACTTCCTCCAAACATACACTTCTACGTCCAGCTAAGAGCATCCTGTCCTTGCACTTGCTGAAGTACAGGCTTGCAGTTGTTCCTGACTGCCCTCTTGTTAAACACCATGTATCTGTTACCAGCAGACTGGTTCTTCTACATTCAAAATACTAATCTGTAAACAGTGAAAACTTGTCCTGCCTCTACTGCTAACATCCAGAAGCCACCCCATCTCACACCCATTTACTCCATAGCTATGACTAATCTACTACACTTTATCCTTGTCTGTTCTTGAATTTCAGTCAACAAGGTGTCAGAAGGTTCTTGTTAGGTTACATCAGGGAGAACCATTCTATTCAAAAGCATCTTGTTTCTTTGTGGTGCTGAAATAAAGCCAGCGGTGATAACATATGTGTAACACTCAAAATATTTCCCCGTCCGGTTCCTGCCACTTGGCCTCACCATGCCCCACTCACAGTGGATTTCCTTCAACATCTCTGGTACACGCTTCCCACCCAGGCTGGAACTTGCTGTTGCTTGGTCATTATTTCATTTTTGTAAGGAATTGATTAAAAATCACCTTTACTGAGAGCTTTCCCTGGCAACCTCATTTAAAAATTTAATTCTTCCTTCCTTCAAACACTTAACACATGTTAAAATTTAGTTTGTTTTTATTTTTTTTTTAGAATTTACCAACATATATTGAATATATACATTAAATACTGAATATTTCACATTATCTATTTTCATAGATCTTTTTTCATGACATATGCTTAATTATTTATTGATTATGGCTTTTATTAGCAAATATACATTGTAAAAGATCTTTTATTTACTTGCCTTTGAATTTTTTATATTTTTATTAAAATATGTATGTGTGAGACTTTTGCTAGGTTGAATGTTGTGCACATTGGGAGTGCCTGGAGGACAGAGGAAGTCAGGTCTCCTGGAACTGGAGTTACACAGCACTGTGAACCACCATGTGGGTGCTGGGAAGAGAGCGTGGGTCCTCTGCAGGAGTTCTTAACTTTCAAGCCATCCCTCCAGCCTCATCACTTTTTATCACATACTTCCACAAAAATATGAGGGAAAAATGTTGTCTTTATCCTCTTTCCAAGGGGAAGCTTGGACTCAGGGGTTGAAGGCAAGGCCAAGAAAGCATGGTGTCACTCAAGTACATCCTCAGCCTTCTTTAACCTTTTAGTTCCAGACAGACTCTACTAAGTGGTCTAGGCCCAAAGCCCTCTGTAACAAAGGAAAGTCTCGAACTTTTGAATTTTTTGCCTCAACCTCCCAAGTAGCTGGTATGATAAAACTTGCTCTGTGAGGCCCAGATTACTTTGGCTATATTGCCTTAGATAATTTCTCAAGCTATTAGTACAGTTTTAAGAATATGACCTAATATACATGAAGATATTGGAGTAAGATAATTTTGAACAACAGAAAGATTTTATTTTTTAATGGTTCTAAGTGTTTAAATATTTGACTACAAATATAAAAATACATACAACATCTGTCACTTTCCAGTTCCAAGTTAGATGCTGAAACCAACAAAAAAGTTGTATATTTATTTTCTGAGTATTCTCCCAGTTGCTAATGTCAGCCTGACCTGACAATTTATTTGTCTGTAGCTGTCAGCTTAGTAAATGCTGCCCCCTAGCAACAGCAAGCAAGAACTGACAACGGCTTGCCACTGCTCTCTGCACTAGAGTGCTGGAAAAACAGCAGCAGCTTGGCTCCTAAGGATTTCTCCACATTATCAATCATCTGAGAAATACAGTTTCTTCCTATTTGAAATCACAGATATGATACCTTTTATAAATTCATATTTTCTTAAAATATTAATAATCTCATTAGAACTACATTGTGTTTATTTTAGCCACATTATTTCATCATTACCAATAAGTTATTTGTAATTGTGTTTAAAAACACAAAGTCACAAGACAACACAGGAACAGTGGGATTCCTCTGTTATTCTAAGACTGTCTTGGAGCAGCAAAGCTGAGAACCAGATGCACCAGGATAGGAACTTCCTTGTGCAGTGGAGGAGGCAATAAGTGTGGAGGAGACAGGAAAGAGAATGCCAGGGTAATTTATAAAGACTCTTCCAGTCTGTAAGGGCTGTCTCACATGTATGATACATACATTCTCAAAAGAATGAGCATGGCATCCTTGTGTTCTAGTCACTGTTTTCACTGGATTGATATTTATTTATGTTAATAATGCAAAGCCATGAGTGTATAAAACTGCAGAAATCATGACAATGGCCCCAAGGTATAATAGTTATGTTTGTAAGGTGTAAAATTATGAATCCTTTACAGTTCTTCCCTACTGTTTTGTGAGATGACTTAGGCAGGAAACTATGCTCTGTACTAAGTGTGAGGGAGTGGGACAATCACTTGAGCTATGAGACCACAAGGTGCTTTTTTCAAGAGATGCTATTTTTACTTGAAAGAGAGACAAATAATACTTTAAAGCTTGGATATTTGATGAATATTTTTTTAAAAAATGAGTAAAATAGGCCTGTTACTGCAAGAAACATTCTGAGCTAAGATGTAAATTATAATACTACAAAAGGGGCTAGAAAGATAGGTTAACACTTAAAAGCATGTTGCCTTTCCAGGGGGGCTGAATTTGACTTCCATCACCACCTTCAGCAGCTCACAGCCACCTGCAGTAACTCCAGTTCCAGGGGACCCAACAACTGGCCTCCATAAGAACCTGCACACATATCCACATGTACTCTTCCACAGAGACACATAAATAAAAATAAAATAAATGTAAAAGATTACAAGGCTGCTTTCCAAGACATACATGACTGTGTCGGGTGCAAGTCTGCAATTACATATGCATGCGAAGGCTACCAGGTGACAACGGTATTTTCCTCAGTTGATCTCCTCTTTTTACCTGAGGCAGGCTTTCCCACTTGAAACCAGAGCATACTGATTACGATAGGATGCCCAATCTCTCCCTTCTACACACTGAAATCACAGATGGGTCACCGTGCCCAGCTGGCGTGTAACTGAGTGACATCTAAACCTGAGTCTTCTTGGTTGTTCACTAAAAACTGTGCCTTCTGAGTTTCTTCCCTAACTGTTTAGTGACTTGTTACATAAACAGTGATGACATTAACAAAAGGGATTTTACAAATGTGAATTTTTTGGATTTTGTATAATAAAATACTCACTTAATAAATATTTTGCAAATACCTGACACATAACATTACAATATCATGCGTGAGTGAAAAATACATTAAAAATGCGAGGCAGACTAATGGACTTCAATGGAATACAGGATCAAAAATTCACTGATACAGTGTTGGATTGTACATTCCAAGCAAGCTTAAGACACTTATAACTGAAACAATGTGTGGCAACAAACTGAACACAGAAGTGGCTATGAGAACCCTGCCATTTTAATTTAGAGACAAAAGATATATATAAAAAAAACACTCTTCTGTTTTGAGGGAAACAGTTATTTTTTTAAAAAATATATGATTTTTAGCTAACATATTATTATTAAATTTTTCTGTTTGCTTTTGTGCACGTGTGTGCATGTTTGTGTGTGTGTGTGTGCGCCCCTGCACCTGCCATTGTCTCGCTCAGAGCCCAGGCTGGCCTTGAACTCCAGATCACGCTTTCTGAGACCCTCAGGAACTTGTGCCTCTATGTATAGTTAGTTGTTTATACATGCTGCAAAAGCTACTGATCAATGAATTACATACAGAAAACTCCCAGGGGTAATCACTAACTCTAAGAACATACAGTGACCCTGAGTTGTGGATTGCTGTGAAAACTGTACTCTCTTTTCTTTTATTTGCTCATCTGCAGTATGAGAATACATTAGATCAGAAACATTACAGAACTGGGGATTCAACTGAGAATTTACTGAATAGTTGTTGATGAATACTCAAATTACAAATGATTCTTTTAAACAAAAAGTTACTAAACTATTTATTTTGTCCTTCCTGGTCAGAATAATAAACCTTTGGTTTATAAGGTATGGGCATTTTCTACAAGACAGTAACCAAGCTTAATTATGAAATAATGCTAGGAAGTTCTTTGTATTCAAAGATGATAGAAGATCAGAGGTAAAGTCAGGCTCAGCATAGATTCAGACACACACCCATCCGTCAGGACTGTAGATATTCCACAGTACAATCTTAACTTTGTGACAAATGAAATACAGTATTTCCCTAGGTATTGTCTGCAACATACTTTGATATAAAATCAAAAGCCCATTGTCAATAATCTCTTTGGGCTAAAATCTAAAATGTCTTAAAGGCCAGAAACAAAACAAAACAAAAACAAAGAAGAAACTAAACAAAAAATATGTCTAAGCAGTCCTTCTGTACTTATTGTTTACACATGTAAAACCAGCTGAAGATGACAGTAAAAGCTTTTAAGAGGGAGAGAATAGTGCAAGCATCTTTTACCAACTGCAGTTATGTGAAGATGGCTAGCCACTATACCCCTGAATTTGTTAGTGTTATCTTCAGCTCAGATGGTAGGGTCAAAAGGATACCAGCTACTGAGAGAGAGCCAGTATCATTTCTCTTAATGGCCACCTGACAACTGCACAGGAGGCAAGCTGAATGTTATTCTGAACATTTTAGAAAAAAAACCTGTTCTCTTAAGAATGAGGAAGCACAATTTGCTATTCTCATTTTTAAGGTCCTAGTATATTTCCAGAAGCAGAAATGCATCAAGAAAGAATGATAAAAATCACTCTGGCCCCAACCTCCCCAAACACGCATTACTTAGTCTATTTATATGTAAATCACATAGCTGCCATGACTTAGATAATCTAGGCATCACATCAGTGCACAATATCCCAAGCTACTTAAGCTGCAGCACTGCTTGGTGCCCAGAGTTCTGTGACCCACAGCAAATGGAAGGGAGCCAGAAATCACAATTTCCCCTGCAAAAGGAGCCTGCAGCTCAACGATGGAGGATTAATGAAGGCTTGCTTTGATAGGATTAGTTCTTGAGTGGGAACTCAGTTTGGGATCTGATTATCACTGAACCCACTCTTTGTCTGAATGAATCCTGGCTCACAGTATTATTAGAGGCACAGTCACAATCTTCTCAAAGATAATTTTAAAGGAAGAACACGTAAGTAATAATGGAAGGGGACAGTAAGAGAAGGCTCATGGGCATGCTGACCAAGTGCAACTAAGAAAGATGTGACCAAGAGTGTCAGAAAGTCCCACATCCGCTCCATCCACAGCTACTCACTGTCACAGGCTACACAAGTATATTTGTTCTTTACCTGCCCCCCTCTCAAATTCATGGCCTCTTCTTTCAATTATTATTGCTACATATATACTTATGAATTAATATATAAATACCAAACTGCTGAATCCACCCATTGTTGTTATGCTTTTAGGGTTGACCAAGGACATACTGGATAACTGACCAGGGCTCAGCAATGGCAAAAACTCTTTATCGTCTCTCTGAAGTCACTATTTTGCCTGTAGCTCTTCACATTGTTGTTTCTAAAATCACCCAGCTAACTATTTAGTAAAAAGCTTCATTTGCTTACTGTCTGTGGAAAGGATTAGTCGTGGACGGGACTTTTCTATGGGTTAAGATATAGTCGCTTTTACCCTCAGTTTCTTTCTGCGGCCAGATTCTCAGAGAAACCATTACCTAAATGGCATGAAAACAGATGTAGAACAAGTTTCCGGAAATGTGTGGAGAAGCATGACTAGAGGGTCACTATCAGTACCAGTGGTGGGTGTTAGGGGTGTCCAGAGTTTGCCCTGAGCTGTATACTACTTCAAAGGGCACCATTCTATCAAAAAAAAATCAAGTCAAGGTGAAAGCCCTTTAGAAAACAATTTAATAAAACTTTTTTTTTCCAGTAAGCTGACCATGCTCCATGTGCAAGGGATTTAGACAGCACAAACTGAACTTGACGAGTTCAGAGACAAGCGAGGAAGTGACCAAGGCTGCTCACACAAAGTTGGACGGTTAGGGAGAGAGATTTGAATCTGGTAGACGGGAGATGGGTAAATATGATCAAAACACACTGCACAAAATTTTGAAGAATTAATAAAAATATTATTTTTAAGCCCACTTTTCAACGGGTTTTAAACAACAAATAGTTAATAGTAAGCACATGAGGGAACATGAAACCTTCTCTTATGTGAGGACATGGAAAGTAACCACACCAACAGAAAGCTGTAATTTCCATTAGCAACGTGTGCAGACAGCTTATAACCAAGAATTAAAAAAAAACCATTTTTTATTCTATCATTTCTGCTCAACCTAACCACTTCCAACTCACACTCTGCAGTGCACCAGGCACACTTATGTCAGGGATGAAGCCAATGCACCAGGCACACTCACATCAGGGATGAAACCAATGTACCAGGTATACTCACATCAGGAATGAAGCCAATCTCGTTGAGGTGATTACTCAGCTCTGGATCATGGAAGGCGATCATCTGGGAGAACACAGTCAGGTACTCTGAAAGGACAACAACGCTGAAGACAACCACTGACTCCAACTGTCTCAAAGCCTTAAGTAAGTGAACCACGTCTTACGCTGGGTGAGAATCTAACTGCTCCACAGAGCAAGGTACATGAACATATAATTTCCCATTCTGTTACTACTTGAATCACAGTGGTAAGTATTAAATACACCAATAAACAATTCCACAATTTACTTTCAGAGATATAAGTTATTTCTTGAGTCAGAAATTAAACACAAGATAACTGATATTTTCCAATCAAAGTGTACAAATACATTTGCTCTAGTAATAGTAAATATGTTTCTCATTGACAAAAAGTTTAGAAGGTGGAACAGACCTATAAGTAAGGAACAGTAAAAGACAAACAGGCACAGGAGAGTAACTGTGACTCAAACTGCTTTCTATATACAAATTTCAGCATCTTCTCTAGTTGTAAATTTTTTCCTATGTATAATTCTGTTTGGCATATGTAGAAATATGAACTTAATTGGTTAAAAAAAGTTAATAAAAGTAAGTAAATGGTAGGCAATTGAAAATATCTTTTGTTGGGACTGAGAGCTAGCGCGGTGTGTAAAAAGCCTGCTGTTTGCAAGCATGAGGAGCTGAGTTCAGACCCCTAGCGCCCACATAAAAGCTGGGCATCTAAAACCTGAGAGAAGAAGCCAGGCAGATTCCAGGGTGTTGCTAGGGAGCAGGTTCAGTGAGAGACCCTGTCTCAAAAAATAAAGTGGAGAGTGATTTAGAAGACACCTAAATTCACCTTCCAGTATCCATGTGCATGTGCAACAAGCACCTGCACACACACACACACACACACACACACACACACACACACACACACGGGGGTGGGGTAGGGTGGGAGGGAGAAGACGGTAAAAGTCCTTGTGTACACAGGTAAGTATAGGAGAAGACAGGAAAGTTAAACACTCAGGCTTATCTCTTCAAAGGAAGGACATGTTTACCTGTCCTTTCCTGAACACTGGGAAAGGTAGTTTACAGTCTGGTGATCCTTTGCTATCTGTAGGGCCAGGCTTCACTGGAATCGCCCAGAATATTATGTTTGTTTATCCAAGACTTTTACCCGAAATCTTGAGCATTGCTTCTTGGTCCACAAAACTGTCCTTATGAGAGGTGCCTCCTGTACTTTACAACAGACTAAGTAACTTCGGTTATCTTAGGCCTGGGCAATCCTGACTCCCATGGGCACCATGCTTACCTCAGTCAAGCTCCCTAGACCCTATCTTCAACACTGCTTCTGAGTCAACAGAACCCATCTTTATGGAGAAACACATATCCAATTGTAAAAGAGTTTCAATGTAAACATGTCTTAGGCTTTGGTGAACACATGGGACAAAGTCAATTGTCACCAGAGAACTTTTTTTTCAAAACTGTGCTGTCAGACTGCTTGTTTAAGCTCATGATGGCTATCTGAGTTGAGCTGAACTGAATTTCATTCTTGTCTCTGCAGATTACTTCACTGTTGGCTATAGAACTTGTAGGGACCCTCTTAAACACACACACACACAGACGCACACAGACACACACAGACACACACACACACCCTTTTTGTTTATTCTAATTATGTTACAAGTTGTAGGGTTCAATATTAAGAATACATTCTAACTTTCCCCATTGTTTCAATAGGTTACTATTTGTACCAATTTACTGATTACATACTAATGGACCTAAACACGATTGTGTCGTAGCATGTGTTCTAAATCAATACCTTTCTTTGTTAAAACAGAACCGAACACCAAAATTAAAAGGCTGTAACCTCAGCACTTTGTGAGGAGAGGGAAGAGGACTGTAACACCTACCACAGCCTGAGCTACAAGGCAAAACTAAACAAAGTACAGCAAGACAAATGACCTCAGTTTCTCTTTTTGAAATTGAAATAATAACAATAAAAATTAAAAACTTTCCTTTGATAATCTACATTTTCTCTGACAAAATAACTGATTTTTAAATGAATTATTTGGTGAAATATCTCTAAAAATAATGTTTCCTTGCTTTATCAGTTTATGTAAGTATCTGTGTTATTTCAAGAAATAGTAATAAGTAAAAGTAACCTATTACTTTTCTCAACTAATGCTATTCCTATTTTTTCCTTGTATTTTACAGTTACTTGCTTATAAATACTGTGTGTACTTTTAATAAGTAGAATCAAGTCAAGCAAAGGAAATGTCAGCGCTGTACTCAATTCAATGACATAAACAAGTCCCACACTGGGACCTAATGTGAGCATTGTTTACTAATTCTAGATAAAGAATGAGATGTTCAATTAACACATTTCTTGATTTACTCTTCATTCAATTTGCCCGTTCCCACACTTTAGAACAAAATACTATAATTTCAATGAATTCAAGAGTTACAAATCAAGCTGAAATCCCTCGGTAACTTTGACATTTATCTTTTCTTTAACTGCTTTCCCACCATCGCTTTTGGTGTATCCATAATTTCAATTTACCCAGAAGCCATCAGTATGCACCATGAGCCACCACAAGTGATCAATTGTATATTGATAAGCTATAGTTAGTAACTTTCAACTTCTAAAAAGCGTGTTTCAGTTTAAAGCAGAAACTCATGCCTCAGGCAATTCTCCACAGCTACAAAAGGGTTTCTTAAAAATTACTCCTACTTAAGCCTGATAAACTTACTATGTGGTCTTATCCAGCTAATTAAGGATTTACTGGAAAACCCCCACCCATATTTCCCTTGTGATCTGCCAAATATGAACGGCTAGATTTATGCCAGCATGCACATACTCACATAAACAGATATATACTAATATACCATTTATTATTATTGTATTCAATGTAACTCACATATGTAAATATAATTTATAATATGGCAAAGTTTGGGCTATGGAAAACAAGCTTTCAAATGCAGCTCAGAGTGAGCTCTCTATTTCAGGGGGAACATGAGAGTATGTGAAAACTGTATCATCTTATGCATTCTCTCCTAATAGAATTTAAAATTCCTAAAAGTTACAACAAATCCACCTGCACATATTCTTTGATTTGAGATAAAACCAAAGGAAATTAATGGTCGTTACAAGGAAATAGAGCAGTGGTTAGATTGAAATAAAAGACCCCACACATGTTAACACTATTGTGTCTATCCATCTTATATGTTTGGGTGTTTTGTCTGCATGAATGTCTGTAGACCATGTTATGACTGGTGCCCAAAGAGAAGATGAGCAGAGGACATTTGTTCCTCCGGAGCTGGAGTGAGAGAGTTCTGAACTAGCTCACAGGTGCTGGATACTGCATCCAGGTATTCTGAAAGAGCAGTGCTCTTAACTATTGAGTCTCCAGCCCCTAACGACCCATTTTAAAGGGATATTAAAAATGCTAAAGCACTATAAATATTAATTAAAAAATGATGAAAATATGACTCAAGGTTCTTAAAACAGTCTCAAAGGTAGTATTTTCTAAAGGTGAACACTATTCAGGCTTTTTAAAATGAAGATATTCATAAAACCACCCTAAAACATCAAGTGTAAAACCAAATATAACTTCCTATATTTTAATAAGAAAACATATTTTTATTTCTTGACATAAGGTATATAATGATAAAGAACTGTGCTTTCTAATTTCTGTATATTAAATTTTACTGTTTATTAAATACACTCTTTTATTTATTAAATACACTGCAATTACAATCTTAATGAAATTGATATAAATCTCACCTAATAATACCATAATTTTTATGGCTCTTTATAAATAAGCTGTATTTGTTTTTAAAACACGCACAAAATACATTGAGAAATGAAATTTCAAAATCTCCATGCAAGTATCTGTGCTGGTTTCCTCTCTGATCAGCATTTCAGCACTGACTCCCTTAGCAGGAAAAAGCAGAGGTGAAGGATGCAGATGACAGATTCAAAGCAAATGACTGTGTCTGCTTACTGTTCAGACATGACATCCATTTGCTAACTACTGTTTCCCACAAGGTTTCTAGTTTATCCTGAGGCTGATGCTCGCATCAAGAGGGAAAGATGCTACTGGAGTCAAGTATACCTCCTGTTCTAGCATGCCAGAGGCAGGAGGAACAAAGCCTGCTTGAGCTACACACCAAGCTTCAGGTCAGCCGCCTACGGAGCCAAAATCCAAGCCAGTCAATCAAAACAGATACAAGGTATGCTGACTCTGGGCACTCCAATTAGCAAACAACAGTTATTTCCCACTAAGAAAGTTGCAATAAAGGCTTACCTCCTTACTAAAGCCAGAGAACAAGCATAAATCCTTGTAATGAATGGGAAGGGAGGGTCAAGAAAAGAGAAACATGATTTCTCAAACGTGGTTTTACTGGGCTTGCAGCAGCGCCTCACACGCTAGGCAAGCACTCTGCCACTCAGCCTGGACTGAGGGTTCCATACGTGAACCATCCTTTCTAAGTAAGCAAGCAAGTTCACCTTGTAGTCTTTCCAGTTAAGATCAAACATTTTCTATACTGGAAAAAAATCTAAGCTTTGTATTTTATTTTTTCCATTTAGCTTTATCTTTCCATGTGAACATACCTCGATCTCGATCTTATAAAACAATTACATTGTTGCCAAATTTCATTGGCTAGTGTATGCATATACTGTAAGCTATAAAAACTATTTTCAATATCACTAAACTCTAATGAATAGACTCCTCCAAAATAGCTTGTTTTCATTTTAACTGGTAGAGACAAGGTCTAGTTCTCAAAGTAACATGTCTGCATCTGAATTGAGAGCAGATATTAAATAGTCATCAGAAAAGGACCATAATCCCTTGAAAAAAAATAAGGAAAAAAATCCTGACACCACTTCTTGGGTTTTGGTGGTGAAGCATCCACAAAAGCCACTGGGTCAAAACTATCATCCTGAAGATTGGTCTTTTGATAGAAATGTGTTTCCATATGAAGACAGGAAAAGGCATTTGCTTACCTTGTATTACATGTGAGTTGTCTTTCAAGAAGAAGTTATACAGGTATTTGGGAATGAAAGCAGACATGCATGCATACGCCAAGGCTAAGAGAGAATAAAGCAACCCCACAGTTACCAGAGTAACGAGCAGCTCTTATTCACTCAGCACACACTCTGTGAGTCTACTGTTAAACACAATTATGATATAAACGCTGGAAACACAAAGTTATAGGGAGAAACACTTCTGATATTTAAAAAGGAGACACTGAAAGATAAACATTCCAGTAATTTCAATTTCAAATTGCTATGGCAATCATTATCCTACAATAATAAAACCTTAATTGCCTAGACTTTATTATTTCAACTTCTAAGCAATCATTATTAACAAGGTGCAGAAACTTCATAATCCTTAATTACTATTGATACAAGCAAAATTCCTGGACTTAAAAGTACTAGTTATAACCTGTACTTTCAAATACAGATCTTTTATTACTCTTGGATCCAACTAATAATTGGATATACCTGAGTAAGCCCAGCAAAAACAAGATCAGACTAGTGAGTGAGCTTATCAGAAAAGAGCACTATAAAGTCAAAGAAAGAAATCTAAAATTTTCAGTATTATTACAATTCTACTCAATTCCAAAAATTCTTATTGCCTACTAAATGATAGCATATGTAAAATGGAGACTCAGAGGTAAGATGCCTGTATATTAAGGTAATATAGGATATCATACTACATGAGTGAGAATTCTAAATTTGAGTGTATCTCATCTAACAGAGTTGTTTAAAAATCTACTATAAAAGGTCCTAAAACAGATAGAAACCAAAACCCTGCCATTAACAAAAAGCCTGTCCCACAAAGGTTGGCAGCACTGGCATATGGGTCCATGAGAACAAAACAGACACAGGATCAACCTGCTGGTCCACAGAGTGTTGCCTAAGATCACAAAAGGCACGAAGAAGTCTCCATTAAACAAGTATGTTTGGTATAATATGTGTTGGATATACAATAAGGGAGAAACCTAACCAATATTGATTGGTTTATAAATTATTTAGAAAATATATTTAATAGTAATTTCTAGAAAAGTCAGTATAAAATCTTCCACCAAAGATCATAAAAGTGGTCATAAGAGTGGGTAATTAGCAGTTCCCACCACACTGTCAGAAATGGCCTTATGGCAAGGAATACCCTTTAATACTCAACTAATTATTTTCACCCTCTAAAAGGAACTAAAACAATTTCACAATATTTTATGATATGTGCAAGGTAAAATATAAGAATTTTAAAATAAAATTTCTGTTTTTCAGCCTGATATTTAAGAACAATATGCATACTGATTTCTCAGTGATAGGAAATCTTACCTTCATTGTTGAAATTTAGATACAGGAATGGAGCACAGAGTGAGTCAAGACCTGATGAAGGAAGTTGAAACCAAAGAGAGAAGTGAGTGCCTTCCAGCAGAGCTGCAGAGCCCCACTCCATTCCCGCCTTCCTCCAAACAGATCAGGCACTGTGCCGATGTCCGCACAGAAGTGTGTTCTGTCAGTAGTTACTATGCAGAATAAATAGGGCCTGACATGTCCCAAACAAGGCGAAGCAACAGTGACATAAATTATGTTGGAGGCTTTGGATCCAGTCAAGTCTGACCCAAACCATGTGTGAATTTGATAATTATTTGGCCTCTTCATGTATGTCTCCTCATGTAGGACATGGATCTTTGTCATGTAAGCCTTTTCCCTTCAGGATTATAAAGTAAAGTATATTTATATTATTGATAATAGTGCTTTTAATCTGTTAACACTCAAATTGGACCTATAATGGGTTAGGAGGAAATGTACTCTCAGGTATGCTGGGCAAAAATAATCACACCTTCACAAGTGGTCAGTAAGCAATATAAAACTCAAAAACAAAAACCCTGCTCATAACAAAACACTCAACAACAGCGTGGGATTGAATAGATTTCTTATTTATGAACTAATGATCATAAAGATGATAATGGCGAATGAAGAAAATCCAGGCTTATAGACACTAATGACACTAGAGAGAAAAAGGAAACAAATAAAATGAGCAATTTAAGGTGATAGAGTCCATTCCTAGTAACTACAGTAATTATCTATTGGGAATACCTCAGTGGTAACACTCTCAAATAGCCTAACAGCTTTTATGGCATGAGTTATTTCACTACTCTGGTAAGATTAAAACTGTTTCCACAGATTAGACTCTGTTTTCCTGTCAATGCCACTGAAAGCTGTTGACTTTTAAATATTATGTAAAATGATATCTCCAATGCATTTAGACCAAGTTTGTTTAATAATTTATTTAAAGTTAACATCTTCAAAATGCACTGGAATTCTAGAGGCTTTCCCCCCTTCAAAATGAAAGAGAAAAGACTTAAAGAAAAATCTTAATAACTGAAATGTTACCTTGCCAGTACACAAGATCAGGATGAGAAACTACCCAAGCTTTCAGTACACGCCGGAACTTTGCATGGCCTTCTGGTGATGACAACAGCTCGTCATACTGATGACAGCGAGGAATATCCACTTCAATCTGTAGGCAGCAAAGCAGGAGGTGCAAGTGTAACAGATGATCACACACACCTCTAGCCCTTGCTTCTTCAGCACGTGTAAGAGACTGCTTCAGAATAATTCACCTTTATAATCCGTTAATAAAGTGTACGGGTTTTTAAATTAATCTTTGGAAACATCACACATAAGTTTCTGAGTATAAGAGAAACTCTTTTTCTAATAACACATATTTTGGGCAATGGCAGAATATTCATAATGAAGGGAAGAGATAAAGAGTTGGGAGAACTGTCTTACAACACCTTACTTGTCTGTCTGTGGGAATCGGAGTGTCTTTATCGATGGCATCATACTTGGCATGAATAGCTCCCTGCAAAAAATAAAATACATAAATTCCCTACATCCTTAATAAAATTGGAAGTACACATTCATATGCTGGGATCATAAGTATTTTAATTTTATAGTTTTTCTAAATTTGGAATACTTGCATAAAATTTACTGATACAGTGTCTCTAATCTAAAAATGGAAAATCCATTTTATTTTTTCAGCAAGATATCAATACTCAGAGCTTTTATTTTTGAAATTTTTGGATCAGTGATCCTTTTACAGAAAAACCTGTTTCTTACAAAAAATCTAATTTTGAAGACCTACCTAAATATGGATAGCTACATTTGAACTGAAGTTTAGTCCACAATTTAGAAATTCTCTACGTCTCTGACCATGTCTGATGAAGGTCTACTTTGGTGAGGTGGACTGTTACCTGGTGTGTTGATGTGTGCCTGCAATCCCAACACTCAAGAGAAAGAAACAGGTAGATGCTGTGACAACACAGTGAGACCTTACTTCAAAAAGAAACAAAAACGACAACCAAAGAACCCCTCTGAATTATATATACCAAAAGGTAAATGACCTTAGAGGTCACTTAGCTAGAGAGCACACCAAATTGCCATTTTCTATGCATTCCTAACTCATTAATCAACATTTTCACGAAGACGATATTATTTTAGAGAGAGGTTTATCTTATCAAAAAATTTTCTGTTAAAGCAGGTGAGGCAGATAACTTGCCCAGAAGAATGATAGTAGCAGGAATATTTGGGTAAATATGCTGTGATCAGAGAACATCAGGCTCATTAACATTTCTTAGTTACAGCAGCACAAAGAATATCTGAATATACTACTTTAAATTTCAATCATGTTCTATAGGATCACTCATGAAAAAGTTCTTATTTATATGACTTACTATAGTGGTAGAGAAAGCCAAGAATTATTTACATACATTTTTGAGAGATATCTATCAATAATGGGTTTGGAAAGCCTGACAATGTGAGTCTTTCGGGACTGAAGTATAGTATAGTTCTATAGCACTAATTATTAACATGTGGTAAAAAGGTAAAGGTTGCAACAGGCAACCTTGTGAAGTAAACAAACACATTCAAAGAAATTTGTAGAATCTCATTAAGAGAATCAAGAATAGAGAAAAAAAGTGCCAACAGAGGTCCATAAAGGTTAAAAATAACTGAGGCCACACTATAGGATGGGCCCCACTCGGGAACAATTGGCTAACACAAATGCACTTCATGCTTTTTGTTAGTCTGTTTTGATTTGGGGGGAGCAGACAGACAGACACACCCCCAGGCAGACAGACAGACAAATAACACACTCTCAGTAATGAACAGGAAGTTGGATGGGAGGTAGAGAGGATCTGGGAGGACTTGGATGGAGTAGGAAAAACAATATGAAAAATACATTGTATAAAATAATTTAAATAAAAAACTTTAAAAAGATTAAAAATTGTCAAGGGCACTAAGATGGTGGCATATATCTATGAGAGAACACAAGCAGACAGAGTGAAAAGGAAATTGGTAGGAATTGAAACAATGTGGCAAGGACTTGCCATCATCATGACTTGTCACCAGACTCTTCTGAGAACACAAGCTTGGTGAATAACCCTGTACAGTGTGCTTTCCCTCACTGCCGGGGATCAGGTGTAGAAGTCAGAGCAGATTTTTCTCTTGGCAGGCTGGCCAAAGTGGAACAGCTATGTTAAAAGCCACTAAATTACGTTCATAATTTTGACAAACCACAACTGAATTAAAATATTAATCAATTTGGAACCACTTATAAATTAAAGTTATATTTAAAAAGGAACATACTTCATAAGAAGGATGGCACTTAGAACTGAGAAAATTTTACTAGACAACTGGTTTAAAATAATAATGCTATTTCCCATTGGCACTAATAAGTACAATATTAAAGAACATCAATATAATTATTTTTATACTCTATTCTTTTCAAATATTTTCTACTTAAAATAGTTAAACATTCTCATGAAGGCTGGATGCCCCAGTGGGTGGGAATTTGAGGGTGGGGAGGTGGGAATGGGGGGGTTGGTAGGGGCATATCCACAGAGAAGCAGGAGGAGGGGTGATGGGATAGGGGGTCCCTGGGTGTGTGTGGGGTAATGGGGTAAGGGGATAACATATGAAATGTAAATAAAACATCCAATAAAAAATAGTTAAATATTTTAACATATAATTTTCTATTAATAGAAGTAAAATTATATGTAAAGCATTATAGTTTTTCTGAGATAGGATGCTTCCATATAGTCCAAGCTGACCTTAAACTCATAACCCACTGCAATAGCCTCCAATGCATTTGGAAGATAAACATGAATCCCTATACATTTTATATTCCTTCTATACACTACTTATCAATTTACACACTTTTTGCTTTCCTACCTCAACTCCCAGAAGAGCAGCCCAGGTTAAACCCCTCATAAGTGGAGGGATGTCAACTCTTGCTTCTTTCCAGATTTGATTTTTTTTGTATGGGTAAGCCTATGATAAGATAAAAATGGTCAAAAATTAAAATCATATCAAGGATATTTATTAACAAGAATACAATAAAACTAGAAATCAATCACCAGAAAAAGTTTGAAAATGATACAAATACATAGGAAATCAACAGTATACTATTGAACTATCAATGAATCCAATTATGAAGGAAATTAAAATATTTTTTGACACAAACAATAATGGAAACAACATATCAAAAACCCATGAGATACAGTAAAATAAGCTCTACGAGGGAAATTCACACAAATCAGTAACCACATCAAACAAGCAAAACCATTTCACAATGAAAATCTAAAGGAACTAAAAAAGAGAACATGCCAAACTCAAAGCTAGAAGAAAGTCAATGATACACATTAGAGCAAGAATAAATGAGATAAAGTCCACAGAATAGTAAAAAAATAAATAAAATGGCTTTAAAAATAAACAAAATTATTAAGCCCCTAGCTATACTTTAAAAGAAGAAAGAGGAGTCTGGAGATGGCTCAGTGGTAAAGATCTTTTTCTACATTTTCTAAGGACCAGAGTTTGGTTCCCAGCACTCACATGTTGACTCACAACTGCCTATAACTCCAGTTTCAGGGAATCCCATACTCTCTTCTAACCTCTGTGAACACTGCACACACACTGTGCACATACATACATTCACTCAGGTGTTCTCTCTTTCTCCCTCCCCCTCTTCCTCCCTTCTCCCTCCTCCTCCCTCCCCACAATAAATGAAAATCAATTCATTAAAATAGAGAAAAGTTTCAAAGAAAACCAGAGATAAAAGGAAACACATGTGACTGATACCACAGAAATATGAAGGATTGTCAGAGATTAGGAACAACTATAATCAGTAACTTTGATAAACTGGAAGGAATGGACAAAGTCCAAAGTGGGCAGCACATACGCTTTCAAGATGGAATGACGAACAAGTTTAATAAAATAGGTTATCAGGACTGAATCCAGAGTAAATAGATTCCCATTTCCATGTAAACTCTAGGACTAGACATTTGAATATTACCAAATGCTTAGAGAAAGCTAATTATCAATTCTCAAATTATTTTTTAAATACAAATAGGAAAAATTTGTTTAAACTTATTCTAGAGCACAGCGTTACCCTATACCAAACCCGGACAAGAAAACTATAGGCCTGCATCCCTAATGAATACAAAGCACATTTTTTTAACCTAATACTATAAACTGAGTCCCATAGCCCATGAAAAACTCAGAATAATCCAGTGGTATTCATCATATGATGACTCATCACTCACAAAGCAAAAATGGAATACACATATTAACACAATGAAGAACAATAATCATATTATCCTATCAATAAATACAGAAAAAATTTAACCAGATCCATCACCATGCCCATGAAAAGATTATTTACAAACAGGATGGAAAAGAATATGCCACAGTATATGAACAAGCCCACAGCTAACAGTGCTTCACATTGAGAAAAGCTGAACACATTCATTCTAAGATGTGGAATAAGACAGAGATGTCCACTCTCTCTCTTTTTATCCGGAATGTTACAGCGATCCTAGTCAGTGATCAGGGAGGACAGAGAAGTAAAGGCCATGCGAACTGTGTACAGAAACATGATCTAGGTGTACAAACCCCTAACAATCCCTCCAAAAATGTATTAGAACTAGTAAACAAGCTCAGTGAAGTTTTAGTATATGAAATCAACAGATTGCCGGGCGGTGGTGGCGCACACCTTTAGTCCCAGCACTTGGGAGGCAGAGGTAGGCCAGCCTGGTCTACAGAGTGAGTTTCAGGACAGCCAGGGCTACACAGAGAAACCCTGTCTCAAAAAAAAACCAAAAAAAAAAAAAAAGAAATCAACAGACTAAAGTCAGTTTCATTATAACAATAATGAAATATCTGTAAAAAAAAAATCAAGAAAGGAACTATTTAAAATAGAATTTATAAATTTTATTTTATAAGTTAGTAACTAAATTTATAAAATAAATTTAATAAAAATATGAAAAAATCTGGGCTCCACGGTGGCCCTGCCTCTCAGGGCCGTTAGACCCTCTCTGACTAACCCAAATCAATTACAGCTACTACAATATTGGCCCCTTCTCTTCCTCGGACCTTTATAATTGGAAAGCTAACCATCTCTCCTTTTCTCAGGATCCTGCCGGACTTACAGGACTGGTAGAGTCTCTGATGTTTTCCCATCAACCTACCTGGGATGATTGCCATCAGCTCCTACAGACCCTGTTTACTACTGAAGAGAAGGAGAGGATAGTCTCTGAAGCTCGGAAAAATACCCGATGATGAGGGGCACCTGACCCTAGATGAGGCCATAATTAACCAGAGATTTCCACTGACTTGTCCCAACTGGGATTACCACACTGCAGAAGGTAGAGAAAGGCTGTCCACGAATCACCAGGCTCTGGTGGCGGGTCTCAGAGGGGCCTCAAGAAGGCCCACCAATTTGGCTAAGGTAAGAGAGGTCATGCAGGGAGCGGATGAACCCCCCTCAGTGTTCTTAGAAAGACTCATGGAGGCCTATAAGAGATACACCCCTTTTGACCCCATGTCAGAAGGACAGCGGGCTTCTGTAATCATGGCCTTCATTGGACATTCTGCCCCAGATATTAGAAAGAAACTACAACGTATTGAGGGGTTACAGGATTATACTATTAGAGATGTAGTGAAAGAGGCAGAGAAAGTTTATCATAAGAGAGAGACAGAGGAAGAGAAGAAGGAAAGGGAAAAGAAAGAAAAGAGAGAAGATGAAGATAGAAGGGAAAAGAGACAAGAAAAGAATTTGATGCGAATACTGGCCGCAGTAGACCTGGGCGACAGGAAAAGGCAGGGGACAAGGAGACCCAGGAGGATAGACTGGCCACAACTAGAAAAAGACCAATGTGCATACTGCAAGGAGAAAGGCCATTGGGCTCGAGAATGCCCTAAAAAGCCAGGGGCGAGAATACTGTCCTTGGAAGATGATGATGAAGATTAGAAGAGATGGGGCTCGGCCCCCCTCCCCGAGCCTAGGGTAACTTTGAGAATGGAGGGGACCCCCACGAATTTCTTAGTCAATACAAGAGCAGAATACTCAGTACTAAAAAAACCTCTGGGGACAGTAAAGAACAAACGAACTCTGGTAATTGGGGCCACCGAACAAAAACAGTATCATTGGACCACCTCCCGGAAGGTAGACCTTGAGAAGAACCAACTGTCCCACTCATTTTTGGTAATCCAGAGTGCCCTACCCCTTATTGGGCAGAGACTTGTTGACAAAACTAAAGGCCCAAATCGCTTTTACCCCCACTGGACCAGAATTGTCCTGGGGGACAGAGATACCCCAAGCCTTAATACTGTCCCTCCAATTAAGAGAAGAATACCGGCTATACCAAGAAACAACAGAGCCCCCTGGAGGGCTACAGGACTGGTTAATTCGATTTCTCCAATCTTAGGCTGAAACAGGGGGGATGGAGATGACAAAACAAGCCCCCCCCCCCGTAGTTATTAAACTCAAATCTAGAGCCACACCTATTGGAGTTCGACAATACCCCATGAGCAAAGAAGCAAGAGAGGGCATAAGGCCCCACATTGAGAGACTGATACAGCAGAGAGTCTTAGTCTCCTGCAGGTCCCCATGGAACACTCCTTTATTGCCAGTAAGAAAACCAAGGACTAATGATTATCGTCCAGTCCAGGACCTTAGAAAAGTTAATAAGAGGGTACAAGATATCCACCCTACAGTACCAAATCCCTATAACTTGCTCAGTACATTGCCACCTGAGCAAACCTGGTATACCGTCCTAGATTTAAAAGATGCCTTTTTCTGCCTGAGATTACATCCTAATAGCCAGCCTTTGTTTGCCTTTGAATGGCGGGACCCGGAAAGCAGAAGAGTTGGACAGCTCACGTGGATGAGACTGCCTCAGAGATTCAAAAACTCCCCCACTCTGTTCGATGAGGCTTTACATCGAGACCTCGCCACCTTCTGCACCAAGAATCACCAGGTGAGCCTTCTACAATATGTAGATGACCTCTTATTGGCTACAGAAACCCACGAAGAATGTGAACATGGGACCCAAGAGATCCTGGTCGAGTTGGGTGAGTTGGGGTATCGGGTTTCTGCCAAAAAAAACACAGCTATGCCGGACAGAAGTGACCTATTTGAGATACATCCTGAGAGATAGACAGAGGTGGCTGACTGATGCCAGAAAGCAGACTGTGATACAATTGGGAGATAGAACTGGAAGAGACCACCTCCAGTAGATAGGCATGGCCCATAGTTGAGGTATGGGACCACCCACACATCTCAAAATTTTAACCCAGAATTGTTCCTGTCTAAAGGAAATGCCAGGACAAAATGGAGCAGAGACTGAAGGAAAGGCCATCCAGAGACCACCCCACCTGCGGATCCAACCCATCTGCAGACACCAAACCCGGACACCATTGCTGATGCCAAGAAGTGCTTGCTGACAGGTGTCTGGTATAGCTATCCACAGAGAAGCTGTGCCAGAGCCTGACCAATACAGATGTGGATGCTCACAGCCAACCATTGGACTGAGCATAGAGTGCCCAATGGAATAGTTAGGGGAAGGACTGAAGGAGCTGAGGGTGTTTGCAACCCCATATGAAGAACAAAATCAACTATCTGAACTACCTATAGCTCCCAGGGTAAACCACCCACCAAAGAATACCCATGGAGGGACCCATGGCTCTAGCTACATATACAGCAGAGGATGGCCTTATCTGGCATCAATGGAAGGTGAGGCCCTTGGTCCGTCTTTTGGAGTTTTGATGGCCCAGCATACAGGGATGCTAGAGCAGTGAGGCAGCAAAGTGGATGGGTGGGGGAGCACCCTCATAGAGGCAAAGATGAGTTGGGGATGGGAAGGGGGTTTGGCAGAGGGGAGACTGGGAAGTGGGACAACATTTGAAATGTAAACAAATAAAATAACCAAAAAAAAGTAAAAAAAAAAAAATTAAAAAAGACAGAAGAAATGCAGGGATGTTGGACTTAATTTTTTTAAAGAAATTATTTTAAAGGTATGATACAGAAGGAAAAATAGATATATCAAGTTAAAAGTTAAAAGCTAATTAAACAATTAGTAGAGTAAGAAATGGTCTACAGTACTGTAGAAAATATTGACAAGCTTTACAACTGACATGGACTTGATATTCAGAACACAGTAAGGAAACCAAAACCTTGACAGTTAAAAACAAACAAAAAATTAAATAATTAGTCGATCTAAATAGACATTTCTCAAAAGAAGATCTGTAAATAGGCACTGGACATTGAAAACACTCTCAGCATCACCAACCCCTCGGGAAATGCAAAGCAGAAACCACAGAGAAACTTCTCACCTCTTAACAGCTCCTATGACCTCTACTGAGGGACTGAGGTACACTATGGATGGCAATATCTAATTTACACAGCTATTATGGGAAACAACATGGAATCGCCTCAAAAAGTTACAGACAAACCTGTCTGACTGTATTAATCATTCTCTCTTTATTACCTCATGGCTGGACAGTACCATCCACCACAGTTATGTAGTACCAATATGGAAGCAAGGAGATTTGAGCCAGAATCAGAGATGAGCACAAACATCAAAGTCTATTACTAGGACTCATGTTCTCCAGCTATGCTGCACCTTCTAAAGGTTCCACAACATCCTAAAACAGAGTGACCAAGTGTTCACAGACAGAAGCCTGTGTAGGATATTTTACATTTAACCTGTAACACTTACTATGATCCACAATTTCCAGTTCTGGGTATGAATGCCAAAGAAATGGAGTCATTATATCCTGCAGTGACATGTTTATTGAACTACCACTATTCATAATATGCAACAAGTAGAATTAACTTATATTTATCAATAATGAGTAGATAAAGGAAATGCAGTGTATATTGTAAGTGGAATATCATTCAGCTCCCAAACATGAAATCCTGTAATGTGTGAGAACATGAATAAAACATAAAGATACTATGTTAAATCAAATAAGCCAAGCACAGAGAAGACAAATACATATGGTCACTCATATGTGAATTAGAAGAAGCAAAACAATTAGAAAAGTGGTCTCCTCCAAGTTCCAAGTGGCCAAGGCAAAGTGGTTAGCAGGAGCTGGATAGCACCGAAGTGAGAGAAGGACGGAAAACGTTCATTGATATGTGTGGTTAGGTCAATGAAACAAATATTAGTGATCTAGTGCACAAAGGAGTGGCTACTTATAAATTATTAATAGCACATTGTATCTTATGCGGATGTCACAAAAATTGATAACTATTTTGTCACAAATAAATGGTAAATGTTTGAAGAAGCAGATAAGTTTATTTTGACTTGAAATTGTATTTTGCAAAAAAATGGATTAAGTATAACACTGGTACCTCATAAGTATGTACTGACATATAGCTCACATACCTCATAAACATAACTGACATATACATGATTGAAAGGGAGTCATTGAAACTGCTCAGCAGGTAAAGGCACTTACTGCACTAGCTTTATAATTGATCTGAGCTTGAATCCAGGGTCCACAAGGTCACCCACTGGATTCCACATGTACACTCTGGCACAGGTGCCCACAAATACATTGTACAAACACAAACACAAAACCACCACCATCATAATAATAACCATGATAAATAGAATTTAAAAATAATTAAAAGAAAAATAGTATCAAGGCAAGAAAAAGAAAATGTCTCAAATTACCAGGTTCATATTCTAGTCTGGGTACTGTAATATATATTGGGATAGAGTCAAGGAGACTGTCAATAGATTTTTAAGATTATTAACTACTGGATCTGGTTTTATCTATACAAAAAAACAGATGAATTTACCTCAACATCTCCAAATGCTGTGTAATAAAACTAAAAATAAGGGCTTGTTCTACCTGTTCTAAATCAGGGCATATTTTAAGTGACTGAAAACCAGGGTTCTCATGCTATATGATCAAAGAAGACAAAAACCTTGTAGAATTCTAGTATAGAAGGTATGGGCTGAACACAAGCTACTGTAACTTCTTACATATTTACCATATTTGACCTTCTGTAAATCTGTAATTTGAAGGGATTTCTAGAAGACAATTATTAGCACACAGGATATTTATGTCTTAGGTACATGATATACACCTTAAAATTGCTTTACAAAATGTTTCTAATCTGAAAGGAAAAGCCCAGTCTTCACAAGCCCCTGCTGGTCTTGTTAGTGATGTGGAAGAATATCCCACTGAAACTGTGCAGTATCATTCCTAGTAAAGATGAGTTTAATATAGTTGTTGACTAGTTGTATTCATATTTTATATCCTATTTCTATCAACATTGGTACCTTTTCCTACTGACTTTTATGCCTTCTTTAAAAATGATGTTAATTCTTTGCCTGAGGTGATCTTTCACATATTGTCATTTTGGAACTTCTATCAATTTTAAAAGTTAGAGAAGCTAATTGGAAAAGATCATACAAATTACTCATAAGTTCAAGCTGTAAGAATGAACAGCATTAAAGGAAGACTCATCCGGACCATCATTAACACTCGATATGTTAGATATATCACTTGATGTGTTCCTACCTTCAACAGCCTGTCAAAGAGAATAATTCTGTTTAGTTGATATTCTGTATCCCTCTCCCTGATGATTAAAGGCAGGGTAGCAGCAGCAGACAACTCATTATTGCTATTTGAATGTGGTAAATTTGACTGGCTGTAAAGGAACAATCAAAATAAAAATATGGACAAAGACAATATTAAAGCACAACATTATAAATGTCCTATTTAAAATCTACACATGTCTTATTAATCTCTCAGAATTGGGCAAAGTGTCAAGTGAAGGAGTACTCACTCATCTTCAAGCAATGGGTAAAACGCTTCTCCACCAACGTCTTTTAATCTCTGCCAATTTAAAACAAAGGACGTATAAATCACTATGTTGGGTAGTAAGACTTATATCTACTTAAAAAGAATAGTTATGTAAAAATTATAAATTCACAACAGCACAAAGAAGTAAAAAATAGAATCTAAAGATTAGTTTGTTTCATAGACATTCAAACATACCATACTTCTGACCACGATTATGTACGAGCAAGTCTTCCCCTTTCCTGTCTATACGCAGTGTTCCTAACATTTCCTCACATATAACACCAAATTACTAACATTAATACAAAAGTTAATGTATACAATAATTTAAATTATATAAAGAATGATTAGAAAAAGGTATTTTTAATATATTCATTTATTAAAAGATTACTAAAAATGATAGGCTTTTTTATATATTCTTTAAAGACATTTGCATGAAATATAGCTGGTGAAGTCACAATTTCTGGAATATATATATATATATATATATATATATATATATATATATATAATTCATTTATTTATTTATTTTCAAATTGTAACTTATACTCATTCACACAGGAGTTATAAACACAAAAAGGCAGGACGTGGGGAAGGGGATGACACTGGAGCGTGGGTGTTCAGGGGGAATACAGATATCTTTCAGAACCAGGTATCGGCTGGGTGAAGGTTCAGGGGACAGGTCACTATGACTCTGCCTATGATTCACTTGTCCTTATCTAAGTTGGTGGAATATACTTTTTAAGGTTTTTAAGTGACAACTCACTCAGAAGTACTGATGAAGTATATGGTCTTGTACAGAACAGGTAAACAAATAGCTGAGACTCACAACTTCACTGAAATCAGGCAACTCTAATTAGTATTATACATTTTAAAACATCATAATCTGATCAACTGTTTAAATTTTAATTGTTTTTATTTCAACTCTTAAGATGTTTAAAATTACCTAAACTTTACTATGTTTAACAAATGGAGAAACAGGAAGACGTAGTCAATGAAGATGCAAAGATAGCCTTGTTGTGAGCAGTCCAGCAGTGTACAGGCTGAACTTACAGTTTACACAGATATTTCCTGACAGTTCTACTCCAGACACACACTGCAGACAATCTCTCATGTGTCACAAATGCGAAGTGTTGTGTGTTAGCTTTAGATGAGGCATTTGGTAACTTCTCATCCTTAGGTTAAAGTGTTGTGTGTTTTCTCTAGATGAAGCACATTTGGTAAGCTTTCATCCTTACATTTCTTAGCTGGCACAAAGACAACGTGACAGTGGTATCATCTAAGAGTGAGCTTCTATCTCGACCTTGCCCGAAACTTTCTCCGTCTTCAAAGAGAAAACTAAGAGTTAAAGAAAAAAAAAAAAGGAAAAAAAAGTTGTTATGTTGATCATAAAAATATAATTATTTTTTCTAAAAAATTTTCCTATCACACTCTCAGCATCAAGACGAAGTAAAATTCATACTAGACAGTGGATTTCGAAAATTGAGTGTAGTGTGGTACATATGCCTATATCCCAGTGTTGGGAAGGCAGAGGTAGGTGTATCAGGAGTTTGCGGATAGTCAGTTACATAGTGAGTTCACACTAGCATGAGACCTTGTCGTGACAAACAAGTTTTCAAAAACTGTAACTGCTAGTTGAAGTTTCTCCAAACACGACTGACTTTTATATATCTCGCGATTAGTTATAATTCTGGCACATGCTGCCCTGGTTAGCTTTGTCACTCATGCTGTGGTTCTAAAGCTGTGGTTTTCAATCTGTGAGTTGTGACCCCTTTGGGGCTAGAACAACCTGTTCACAACGGTCTCTTAAGACCATCAGAAAAACACAAATACTTAAATTATGATTCATAGTAGTAGTAAAATTATAGTTGTGAAGTAGCAACAAAACAATTTTATAGTTGGGGTCACCAAACATGAGGAACTGTATTAAAGGGTCACAGCACTAGGAAGGCTGAGGGCCACTGCTTTAGAGAGAAAACTCTGCAATTACAAATTCTAACCCATCCAACAGGTGTAGGTCTTACTACTTCCATGTTCACACAATTATAATATAAAATGAAATTAAAAAAATCAACCAAAAATTTAAACTGTTATTATCAAAGATTTTCTTTACTTACTTCGGGAGTGTGCAGATAGGTGGTTTGGATCGAATAATTTCCTTGTTTATAAGCTCCTTTTCCAGGTCTCCTCCAGCCAAACACCAAAGGTAGTAAACTTCCTCAATAGATCTCTCCGCCAGGTAATCATTGTCTATATCTATTAATGGTAAAATTTTCAAAATTACTATTACCATTTTTGTCTATATTAATAGCTGATATTGATAACAGCTGACATTCTAATAAAAGTAGCTGAAGAACAGGTTATCAGTTCTGTGTGTAAGGACTTTGCAAGTTGCTACTCCACCTAACAATATAAGAGATAAGATTGATAATCTTATGTGAGAACCATAAGAAAGGTAACAGAATGGAGGCAAACTACTTCCCACAAGATTGGAAAAGCAGGTAGAAGGATGTGCAAGAACAGAAAAAAAAAAAGCCTCAGGAACCAGAACTAGAATAGTAAAAGCAGAATACAATTGATGAATTTCTGTAAGCCCAGTGCAGACAAGTCTGAGAGTCTGAAGTCCCAGGATGTGCAGTTATAGCGGGACACTGGCACAACAGTAAAATTTATCACCAGGATATCACAGGATCTCACAGTAAATACTGGAGAAAACTGGCCTGCACTTCAGGCCAGGGAAGGAGAAAACAGAATCAATCTGGAATATCACCAGAGGACTTTCTTCCTTATATGGCTTGTCACAGGAGAAGTTAGCCAGCACCTAACTGACCTGGGAGGATGGAATACTTTTTATGATGTTGGTGGCAAGGAGGAAGGACAGCATCCTGTAGTCCTATACATAGGTCACATGGTTTAGTAAGCTTATGCCCCTGGACTGTGATATTCACACAAGCTTTCTGCCCATAGTGAAACTAGAAGGCTAGGGTACACTTGAGTGGGGTGTCTGGGTGCAGGTGTGTCATGACTATACATTTTGATTCATCTTTGTAACAGGTTGATTTCCTCCTAAAAGTGGCTTATGCATAAAGACAGTGAAGGGACCAGAGATTGTCAAAATTCTAAACATACTTCCTATACTCACAATGGAAGTAAAACTGCTACTTCAGTACTTCTCTTGCCCCCTCCCCATGAAACTCGCATTAAGTTGATATGCAGAGTGATGCTATTAGTCAATTTTAGTCACATCCTGCTTCCTATATCTAGAAGCTAGAAAAGGTAAAATCTGGAAAATTTATTCCCCATGTTAGAGGTACAGAACAGGAATTTTTATGCTCTACAAAAAGGAATGTGGTAGGAAAACCCTCATGTCAACAAAGCATTCCTTTCCTCATGCTTTACCACATAATATGAGGGCACAGATTTCCTACTGTTGATAGAATTTTAAGACCACTTTGTTGTGTGTAATATTAAAAAACAATCCATGCTATTGCCTGCTATGTTCTAGTAACGTGGTCTCTCTGCCCCCATGGTCCCCATGTGGTGGCCTCCCAACTCCTGGTTCTCTTGCTGTGGAACCTGCTGACTTTCCCAGGTGTCTGCCTCCTGCAGGTAGCTGTGACAAATCCTGCACCCTTCCCCACCCTTAACCCAGTAAAATCAAAACTCGAGGCTTGTAATTTATCAGTCAGATTTATATCAGTAAATTCTCAACCCACAAGATGCCCACATAATGAACTCAGAGCCAATTGATATTGATAGAAGCTGCCCACCTAGACTGGACAGATTGTCCTATGTTATTCCATCCCTTCTATGATATTCATAGCTACTTGTGGCTATTTAAAGACACGTGGATCAGGTTCGTCCTCCCCTTCCTCCATCTTCTCTGTCTGTCTACCCTCTCTGTTCCCTGTGCTGTCTCTAAAACTCTCAGCTTGCCTTCGTTTTTCACTGCCCAATCACAGACTCCAGTCTTATATTACACCTGCCCCCACCTGCATATCAACAGCAATCTACACCACTTAAGATACGTTATGTGGAATATTAGTAATTCAGAGTCTAAAATTTGACTTATGTTTGACACACTGTAGAATCACCTCCTAATTCCCTGGCTATTTTCCACAAAACCTATGGATGAAACGCCTGTTACTGCTGGATTCAAAAGTAAACAGGCTAGGGGACTTCTTCTGGAAACAAGGCTCACTTACCACCTGTGCTTCACTCATCTTTACCTTTACACAAGTCACTGATATCCTCGGGCAGAGTTAAGTCAGCGCATCTCAGCGAAGATGAAAAGAGACCGGCAGGTTTGATAAAGGGGGTGTATAAAGGTGACACTTCACTGAACACCTGGTCCTTCATTAACTCATTTGGGGTTGGCCTTGAGAAAGACAATTGAAAATACTGAGCATGGATATGGAAATTTTCCTACAAAATATAACACATTCAAGGTGGGAGTTAAAAGTCTTAGATACCTCCTTAACACAGACAGCCATGAGTTGACTTCTTTTATTCACAAAAAGTTAACTTTAGATCACGTACAATACTGGTATCAACTATGTACTGTAACACATGCAGCTATCGTCCCTTAGTCCATCACTGTCATACCAAACACTAAATCAACTCTATAGAGAAAGAATCCTGGGATAAGCCTGAAGTCTTAAGGAATCACCTTTTAGAAGGATGGAAGGTGAGGCACTTCTTCAAAATATTTATCACACTTTCTGGAAGCTCCTGGTGAATAAAGATAAAAAATAGACAAATGATCAATTGTACAAATATATTTTACTAAAATATTTAAATCTCATAAGTTTTGATTTTAAAAGAAATACAGAGACAAAGAGTGGAGCAGAGACTGAAGGAAAGGCCATCCAGAGAGTGCCACACCTGGGGATCCATCCCATATACAGACACCAAACCCAGACACTATTGTGGATGCCAGGAAGTGCTTGCTGACAGGAGCCTGATATAGCTGTCTCCTGAGAGGCTCTGTCAGAGCCGGACAAATACAGAGGTGGATGCTCACAGCCAACCATTGGACTGAGCATGGGGTCCCCAATGAAGGAGTTAGAGAAAGGACTGAAGGAGCTGAAGGGGTTTGCAACCCCACAGGAAGAACAACAATATCAACCAACCAGACGCCCAAGAGCTCCCAGGGACTAAACCACCAACCAAAGAGTACACAAGGAGAGACCCATGGCTCCAGCTGCATATGTAGCAGAGGACGGCCTTGTCAGACACCAATGGGAGGAATGACCCTTGGTCTTGTGAAGGATTGATACCTCAGTGTCAGGCAGGAGTCAGTAGGGGAGCACCCTCATAGAAGCATGGGGAGGGGGGATGGGATAGGGGGTTTGCAGAGGAGAAACTGGAAAAGGGGATAACATTTCAAATGTAAATAAATAAGATATCCAATAAAAGAAAAAACCCATTTTTATTTGGACTTTATTTAAATTTATATTCATTTGTCACTCTCTGGGAAAAAGCCAGCATTTGCAGAGAGATAAGTACAGCTTTAATAGCTTGTTATTGTATCCTAATGTGAAAATGAACTTTCCTAAACAGATTGCTCTTGTTTGACTGTGCCCCTTTCTACATTCAGGTCCTGAAACTTAAGGCAAAGTAAATGTCATTAAGGGATGAGCTGCTGGGGTGGACCTGCTACTATTATTCTACTAAATGAACACTGTACCATACTGTTCTCTAAATACACCTCTTTCTCCTCATAGATTATCCAGGTCTCAGATGTCAACAAAGAAATTTCTTTGTACACGGAATGGTGGTTTAGCAGAAAATCACAATGGTTAAAGTGTAGGAAGCTGTGACTATGGAGTGCTCAGCTATATCTATGTCACACCCCCTCTGCAAGGCTCAAAGACCATCATGGAACAGTGGGTAGAAAGACCCAAAGAGCCAGAGGTAGGGGAGCTATTGACAGCCAGCGATGTCTAGTGAAGGCAGAATCAGTTATCTGTAAGGGTCTGGCTCCTGGTAAATAGACCAGGGTGCAGTGGACACCCACACTAAGGAGTATATGGGCCACACTGGACTTAATGGGTTATTAAATGGGGGGTGAATTTGGGAGATAGGGGTTGATATAAGAGGAGCTTGGGAAAAGAATTAGGGTAAATATGGTTAGAACATTGTATGAAGTTCTCAAGAATGTATAAAAATAAAAGCAAACAAATAAAAGAGGTGGCCCATGAGAGGTGATGGGGTCCCATGGGCCTTCATCTTGGGAATGGGATCTTATACTTCCCTATCCACTGCATCCTCCACCAGCTTGCTTCTCTGCTGTGAGTGTCCTTCCCTTATCAGAAACCTGAGCCTGTGGGCACCTTTATCATGACATTTCCAGCCTCTAAAACTGTGAGATGATTCATTTTGTTCTTTAAAAATGACCGAGACTCAGATAGTCTTCTGGAACAGGACTCATGTATAACTAACCTTGATAATGTCCAGACACCCATGCTCCTCAGCCAGAACTATTATAGTGTCATCTACACAGCCTAAGAGAAAGGAAAGGCAGGTGAGTAAACACCAGAACTATGATAGTATCATCACACGGCCTAAGAGAAAGGGAAAGGCAGAGGAGTAAACACTGGTTTTTAATCTATCACAATAACTGGAAAATACAATGACAAAAATTTCCAAATATCATATAATATAGTTTTGGTCTCTAAGCTAGTAAAACTTTTTTTTTAATTTAAAGAATTAACTTTCTTAACATGCTTTGACAAAAGCATAGAGGCTTACTCACTCAGTTCAGTTTAGCACAGGTACTAAATTATAGCCACTTATATAAAGATATAAAAAAAATCCAAGGAATTTTTAAAGGTGCTGTATTTTTTTCATGGTTACAAGAATAATTTATTTTTATTACATGAGATCTGGAGAATGACCCCATGTATCTCTGGAGATAAAAAGTATAAATTCAGTCTTCAGACCACACTTAACAGTGCCCCAAATTCCTTGACAGCTGTAATGTCTAGTCTTTGTAAGGAATTAATGAAACAGATAAAATTTTATGCTACTTAACTCATTGCCCCCTTCCCACAGGTTTTATCCTTTGTAAACTGTTCTTGGAATTCTGATGTGTCACTGCTTCATATGAAATAGTCCTTTCAGTTCTCTCTTCATTACATTTAAGTTACCTCACTCTGAATTAGATTACACATTTGCTAGTATACATTTCAAATAATACATATGTAAGTTTTAAAGAGAAAAGAACATTCTTCCTGGATTGTTTTCGTACACAACTAGTCACATTAGAAAGGTAGCTCAAGGTTTAGATATGGGCATGGAAGTACAGTTTTACATTCTATTAGTCTGATTATAGAAAATACTTTACTTGGCTAAGTCATGAAACGAAGACTTCTTTCCATGAAGGTTCAAGTTCGTTCATGGATAAAGAAAACTGCTGCATGTTTGACAAGCAGTCTCCATGACCTCTTCTCATGCTTACCTCACCACCAGCAGCACAGGAGTCTCACTATTCCAGCGAGCACGCCAATGCACGTGGCGGCTGTCCCTATACATTGTATTTATGGTGGAAAGATAACCAAATGCACGAAACTTACCCAAAGTAAGCAAAAACTTTAGCCTTTCAGAAATATCCAAGCTCTGAAATAATTTTCTCCCCTAAATAAAATGGGAAAATAAATTCTTATTAATACTTAGAATTTTCTCCCTGTTCCAGATATAACCCTAACCCTAACCCTGAAATCTGTACTATTATTTAGCTGATTTTATTGGCACTTCTACTTATTATCATATTTTACTGATTTTTTTTAAAAAAATCAGCTTGACTAAGAAGAACTATTGATAACACTCCTAAAGGAGTTGTATAATATTTAGTATTTACGGCACCAACGTCTAATGATCATTAGATCAAAATGTGATTCCCAGCCCTGATCACTTTGAGAACCACACATTATTGTTAATTTTTCCTGATCACCAAAAGTATTATTTAGTAAAATACAGAGATGGCCCTGGAAGTCTATCTACCCCTGAAATCCTTAGTTATGTCTCTCACTCAAGTAATCCTTTCTCTGCCCCGGTAACCACCCACAGCAGGTCTTCCTCTCCAGCAACTTCAGATCGGTGTTCCATGCCTTCCAACAGCACCTGAGTTTCTGTGTTGTCTTTGCTGTTTTTGGAGCTGGGGACAGAACCCAGGAGTCAAGTTGCTAAATCAGTATAGTTGCTAGAACAGCATGGTATCACTGTGTTCCATCCCCAGTCCTTCCTATACTCTTAACTTAAGGCAATCTTTCTAGGCTAGTCTCAAACTCAAACTCAGTTCTCCCTAGCTCAGAGTAACTGGTATTACAGGCTGTTTTAAGATACATATTACATTTTAGTTGTTTCCTTATCAGTTTGCCTCTGGAACTCCTTAACATGAATTTGGGAGTCAAAATTTTTATCTCCAAAAATCATGTGTTAAGCAATTGTATGTGCAACAAGTTGGATTCTTCTATCACCAAATAATTAAATAACATTGCTAAATTACCTAATCCCTTTACACCGCACATCTCTCATCTGTAAAACTGCAGAAGAAACTGAACAGACCTACAGTGCTCAGTTATAAAAAAGTGGACAGTGCCTGTCACACTTGCACTGGCTGTCCAGACCCAAGGACATAACCAAGTGATATAAAACTCCTATAGAAAAATTAAACTTTCCTTTTACTGAATTTATTCAACTCTGTATCCTTCAAACTTTATAGACTGTAATATAACTATGACCTCTAATACAATATGTCTATTTATATTTAGTCAATTTGTACAACAAAATATTTCATTACTATATAAACTTCCTCTCTAAAAAGCAAATTCTAATGATCACTCAATTATTTTATTAGTTTAATATTTCTTTATACATACCACACAAAGTTCAAATAAAATTATCCCAAGAGACCATACATCTGATTTAGGGCCAGAAGGTAATGGTTTTTCACTTGGCACATGATCATTAGTTTTGAAAATTCCTTGTGCAATTACCTCAGGTGCGAGATATGAGGGATACCTGTAACACATGTAAAAATAACAAATAATTACATTGAGCTACAATGATGACAGAAACAGCAGGACATTCTTGTAAATAATTCGTGAAATGTAAAATTCTCACATGATTAAACCCATAGTGATTACTAGAGAGAATCTTGAACTAATCATTGAAATACAGGCCTTTATGTCTAGGAATTGAAGCAGAACATACAGGAGTCTTAAATCATTTTAATAACGTCATGTCTCTCTGTGGCATCAGTGTGGTTCCTTGCCATACTGCCATTATAGCAGGCCTCTAGTTTTGTCTTCAAGTGCTTTCCTTCCTCCTTAGTCAGTCTTCTATCAGGAGTGAACGGTCTTATCATTAAAACTTTGAAATAGGTATTTTCTACAGTGTCTTACTTTGCTTTCCTGTTGCTGTGATAAACACTGCAAAACAAAAGCAACTTGGGAAGGAAGAAGTTTATGCCATTTTACAATTACACTCCATCACTGAGAGAAGCCAGAGAAGCTCAAGCAGGAACTGAAGTAGAATGAATGGAATAATGCTGCTCACTGGCTTGCTCAGATGGCTTTTTTATAGCAAGATGACCTACTCAGGGATAGTGCCACCCACAGTGAGTTGGGCTTTCCCATATCAATTGTTCATCAAGAAAATTACCCCCAGAATTGCCTACAGGCAATCATCTTCAGTTACAGTTCTCTCAGATGACTTTAGCTTGTGTCAAGTTGATTAAAATCTGGCCAGTACAAATGACCCCTTGTCAACTTGACATACAAATACATCATTACTAAAGTTATATTACTATAACTTTTCCTTTCTTGTTTACCCCAAAAGCTCATGTTAATAATGCAATATAAAACAGTATAATTTTAAAAGTTCTAGAGTCTTTAAAACTTTAAACATCTGTATGTACATTCAGGGCTGTACTGTTAGTAGTGGATAACCATTTAGTGTGCACTTCCTTAGGGGAGACTAGTTCTTCTTTCAGGATAGTTGTTTGCAGTCCTGTGTCTATGGCTGAGATTTCATGAGCTTGCCTCCTTCCATGTTTAGCATGTCTTCTGGTGTTGTCCTTTCAAGCCAAGTTTAGACGGCTTGTTGGTGAAACTGCATGGGTGTAGTATATGGACTGAGTAGCTCTATTTATATATTTAGAAACACACACATTGTACACACACAAACACACATACATATGTAGCCAAAAAATAAAGAAAAAGAGGTCGTGATTTTGAAAGAATTGGGTTGGGGGTACATAGGAGGGTTTGGAGGGAGGAAAGGGAAGGAGAAAATAATTGTAATCATATACTTTTTAAAAATTTAAAAAATTCAAACATTTTAAGGTTGAGTCTCTTAAAAATCAAACCAGGGCATAGTCATAATCAGATTCAAGCAAAACATAATTCAACATTATAAATATCTAACTATACAAGAATATTATGAACCCAGAATGGAATCATTAGGCACAACATGTAGGCACGTTCCATTTTAGTATCATATGTATGTGTGTGTTTCTCAAGTTTACTCATGAGCACCATAATCTCGATTTTCCCTTCATTAACATTATTTTACAACAATAACTTTAGGCAAGATACATGAAAATACACGTGGCATTCCCTCATACTATCATTGCCAAAGTTCATACTTATATGTAACTCATTCAAGTATGAATATATAGCTTGAATAAAACTAGTTTGATATATTGTTAAATAATTATTCATCATGATGACATAAATACTCTTTTAATATACTCATGTATTATATATAAACCTGAAATAGCATCTGTCCTCAGGTGATAATACTGCTTTATACGGAAATATGTGGAGTCTCTAGAAATAGCTACTGTCTAATGAAAGCACCAGATGTAATGGTCTAGCACTTGTGTTCCACTCTTTGAACTGTGTGAGTCTTTGTGTTGTGGCACCAGAGATGGCCTTGAACATGCCATGCAATTGCCCTGCCCAACAGACCTGTGCTTTCACTTCAGTGAAAGCTCTAAAGATTACAGTCCCCTTTAACCAGACAGAAATTCATAAAGAGCCTTAAACAGGCTCTTTAATGAAGGGCATCATCTTTCAGTGACTTCCTTTTAAGTGTCTCATTTTAACACTCAACAGAAATTACTAGGACTTCACTTTGAACATGGCTGGTCAGGTATTGCAAATGGCTTTCATCATCTGCAGTTTTAACAGGGCATTAAGCTACTGTCCAATCACAGTGAATGCCCAATTTCTAATTCTTTCCGATATTTTGAAGCAGATGGAAACACTTACGTGCCTTAGTATCTGTCACTGGGATCAGCTGTGCACCTCCGCTGATGGAGAGGCTCTTCCTGGCCTGGCTGTTTGATCACTTATTTTATTTTTCCTGGCTAATGTTTCACACTTTGCTCTTTATACTTTCCAGTAAGATCCTCTGAAACTCAGACTTCAAAGCAAGCTGCACCAAATGCTAAAACAAGACCACGTCTACCAAAGTCTTTTAAATTCAAAATAACTGATACACTTTAAGAAAACTCACATCTATTTCACCAGAAACTAATGGAATCTTAAATGTAAGTCAAAAGCCTAAAGTAACGTTTGTGTTATGTTTTTAGTTTTCTTTCATAAAAATTGATTTAGACAAGATGCAGTAGTAATAGTCACATCTACCACTGCTCTTACGGCAGACAACTGGAAATGGTCACTCAAGAAAGAAGCTTGAACTTAACTAAGAACTTTAATAAAAATAAAAAAAAACCATGTTAACTATTAGTACAACATTTTTATGTTTATGAATAAAATTGCATTCTACCATTGAACTTATATGAATGTTAAGATTTGAATTTGCATAACTTAATAAATCAGCCACTGGACAGAAAAGTCCCCCATTTAAGAATGAGTTGCTTGAGGATGAGAACTAATAATAGCTTTGTGCATGGAACAGGCAGAGCAGAACGTGCTCAGGAAATGCTTCCTTACTAACTGAAGTCTCAACAGCCTGGACTGCACAGTGAGTTCAAGGACAGCTTAAGACAATGGTACTAACAAACAAACAAAACAAAAACAGAGAAGAAAGCTAGAGGCCAGGCATGATGGAGCTCTCCTTTAATCCCAGCACTCTGGAAGCAAAGGCAGGTGGATCTCTGTGAGTTTGAGGCCAGTCTGGTCTACATAATGAGTCCCATGGCAGCCAGGGCTAGATAGAGAGAACCTATTTCAAAAACCAAAAGGAAAAAAATAGGAAAAAAAGATCTACAGTCTACATTTTTACAATAAAGGAGAAATTTTTCAAAAATCTAAAAATTTTTAAGTAATATTCTACTCCTGCCTATCCCGACTCCTGGTGCTAGCATGGTAGAACTGATTCTTTGGGTGCCCAAGGAGAAATCCCAAGTGAATACTATTAAAAACAGTCAGGCTGCAGGTGAGAGAATGTGATGAGTTCTGCATTAGGTGACAGTGTGTCAAACAGTCAGGCTGCAGGTGAGAGGATGTGATGACGAGTTCTAGGCTAGGTGACAATGTGGTTTGCTCATGTTCATCACTGCTCTGAAGTTATGTAAGGAAAGTCCTGAGTGTGAAATACAAGCTTGAGTCTTAGAAATAAAGAGCCAAGAGGTCTACTCTTAGACTACCACGAAAGTATCAGACATAACAAATTCAATCACAGTAAATGAAAGACAGCATATGTAAATATGCAGTAAAATGTTAACATGGAGAAGTAGAAGGACAATCAGAAATTCTTTTCCTTACTTTTGTTGAAAATAATGTAACTTAAGAATAAGAGTTCCACTACAGGAATGTTTCAGAGGAACTATACAATGATACATCAGTCTCTATCAGAAACATACATCTAAATATAGCATGAAATAAAGTTCCATTCATTTCATGGAGGGAACACAGATCTGGAAATTCACACCAGAAGCAATTAAGTAAATAGACCTTTTTAAACATACACTTCTCTATAGAAAATTTATCCCATTACCTCCAATGTCCACAATGAATTAACTTGAATTAAAAAATGCAATTTAATCTTAGAGAATAAGGAATTAAATAAACATAAAACATTAAACTGAAAGTAAAATAAGCAATGCTTTTCAGTCTATAGAAGAACATATAGTATCATTATGAATCTGGTCTGCTTTCTTACCATAAGCCACTTAATTCTAAATGAAATGCAATTAATTAAGGAATATCATAAGGTAAACATGACCGGTGATGTAACCCTTTGTGCTTGTTATATTAAAGATCAATTCAGGACTCTCAGGGAGACTGGGAAAACACTCACTGTTTACTTGTCAATAAAGTATATAAAAATTAAGATGTAGTAAGTAAAGAAAATCTGTTTTCATGTCAAAAATAACTAGCCAGATACACATTATCAAAGTTCACCAAGGTTAAAATAGAATTAAAAATAGAGATAAACAACCCTTACCCTATTGGGAAATCGACATCATCACCATGGGCTGTCATGTGATAAAGTCCAAATTTAGCCAGTTTAATATGACCCTACAATGAAAAGAGAAAGTCAGTATGAAATACCTTAATACAATTGCCAAAGAAAATTGTCATTATGTCTTATAAATAAAATAAATATTATGCAATCCAATATAATATTTTTTGAAGATTTACTTTATGTGCATACATGCATGTTTGAGTGTATGCCACAGGGTGCCCAAAGATACCCGGTAAGAAGAGGGCACCAGATTCCCTGGAACTATAGTTGGTGTCAGACATGTGAGCTTCCTGATGTGGATGCAAGAAACTGGACTCAGGTCCTATGGACAAGCAGCAAGTGTTCTTAACCACAATGCTATCTTTCCAGGCACATACATATAATATTTTATCAAAATACTACTATTTTAGAATTTATAAACCACTGTGATTATACACAGAATCATCTGGCAGTGTTTAGTATGCCTTACATACATTACATGTGTATAAATACTTGTGAGTACATGCACACACACACACATACACACACACACACACACATATAAATTATATATATATATATTCAGGGGCTGGAGATGAGCCAGTGTTGGAGAGCACTTGTTGCTCTTGAAGGGGACCCAGGTCCAGTTCCAGCATTCTCATGGCTGCAAATAACTCTCTGTAACTCAGTTCCACAAGACCTCATGCCCTGTTTTGGTCTCTGTGGCCATCAGGCTTGAGCATGGGGCACAAATAAATCTGCAGGCAAAAACACCCATAAAGTTTTACATAAAGTAAAAATAAATTTTTTTTATAAAAGGGTCAAATCAAAATTTCCTTGGGCACCTTTGTCACTCACATTATCAAAGCATCAAGACTTTTTCCTAACAAAGAAAAAAGGTAAAAGTTGCTTTTTTTAAATCTTTGATTATAATGTTTAATAGAAATTTTGCAAAGGATTTTTTTCCCAGGGGCTTGAAAAGATCTGTGAAACAGTAATTCTCTTATATTTATGGTTGCAAGCCCAGCTTTTAACAGTCGAGACACCTCTCCAGACTGTGAAATGGTAATTCTTAGTGTGAAAAATTTATAGTTAAAAAAAAAATCATGGTTTTCAGAAATTTTTAGATTTCTAGTTATCTTTTTTATTGTCTAAGAATAGCAATAATAGTCATTAATGTGAGCTCAATAAAAAAGTAAGCATAAGTTTTATGTCTCCTAAACTATTCTTTTATAGACTTAGGCTTTCTTTCTGTAAAGCTGACTTTAAACGTGGTTTGTCTGCCCTGGAATTGCTCAGCAAACCGTACTGTACTGGAAACATCATGTACTGTACACAAACTGCCCTGGAAACATCAATGCTGGTTACGGCAATGACGCTTCACTGCTATGAATCAGACATTAAAGAGTGCTGCTTTCTCCGTGATTTTTAATCCCACAGAGTAGCCATATTAGATTTTCAGATTCAGAAAATAATTATATAGGAGTAATTGACCCCAAATTACCCTAAGCTATTTCTATACTTATGGGAAAACTAAATTATGATTATTCATCAAAATATGCCACTTTGCTATCGATTAGTGTAGGGGGGTTACTACATTATTAATTTCTGTGAGAGTTCTAATAGAAAAGAAGTAATCCCACAGAAAGGGGTTAGGTGTGAGCAGATGGCAAACAAGATCTGTGAAACAGGAAAGACGGAGGAAGGAAGAATAAAACAACCTGGCTGTGCTTATAACAATGGCATTCCACATGAATGGCTCACACTGCTGTCTTAAGTTGTAAGAACTGAAGAGCAGGAACAAGCCTTGGGCAGCCTCTCTCTATATCCTTACTGGTATCTGTCATGGAGCGGGGATCATGCTTAGTTCATAGAAGACACAGTCCTTTGAAAGAAAAGTGAGTGGAGAAACTAAAGCACAAAGCTAGGAACTAAGCTGGGGCATAGTCAGAATAACCCATCCATAGAATTTAAAAGTTGTTCTATCTGCTACAAATCTATCACTTCACCCAGTCTTTACAAATATTCTGACAACACATTGTTAGTGTACATCTGATTAATTGAATATTTTAGTAGTTTTCACTCTGAAGCAATATAAAAATATCTATAATTAACTGACAATTACCTTCCGATCCAACAGGATGTTATGAGGAGACAAGGCCCGGTGTACTATGCCATGCTTGTTCAAGTACTGCAAGCCCTCAAGTACCTCATATGCTATGCACAGAACTGTTGAATAACTAAAAAGAAAGCAAATGTCAAAGATCAATTACCAAGCAAATACAGAGTCTGTTTTAAGGAATAAGATGAGACATAATAAAAGGATTCAGACAGTGATGCTTTACTGTACCTCTTCCATTCGAAGGAAGTGGAACAGGCACATTTTAAAGAAAATACATTTCTACATAGTTTGGATTTCCAGTCTATAACAAAACAGATGTGATATAGAATCTTACGGTTTAGGCTAAATAAAAACCAACTTTGTTTTCCCAGGGGAAGACTTGAATTTGGGTGATTTATAGCAGAATGAGATGCACTTGCCACTGACAGGCTCGGTGTTTTAACAAATTACCAGTTATATTTTTAAAACATCTGGGATAAATCATTAAAAGCCATGAATTCTGTACAAACAAAAACAAAACAACTAAATCCATGAAAATAAGATATATTTTATACTATATAGACATTACATAGTTCCATATCACCTTATAAATTACTCAAGTAATTCATGACTTATTAAACACAAGTTTTAAATCTTGCCCTATTCTCTCTATGTCAAATCTCACAGAGATGCTTATTTTCCTCATCATTTTTCCTATCTCTCGTCCACTGTTTGAGTTTCTTTAATATATACAGAAAAATACAAAGAAATCATTCAATTCAACCTTCCAGCTATCAATGTTAATATTTTAATAGGAGGGTTTTTCTAGCCATGCTATATTTTTAAAATTAATATCTGAAAGCAACCACAAAAAAGTATATTTTAAAAGAATTAAAAATATTGAGGCAATAGTAAAGAATAAATGGAATCACTGTTTGTGTATTTTCTTTCGTTCAGTTTTTGTTTGCTTGCTTGTTTTTTTGAGACAGGGTTTCTCTGTGTAACAAACGGCCTTGGCTGTCCTGGAACTCACTTTGTAAACCAGGCTGGCCTTGAACTCAATGAGATCTGCCTGCCTCTGTCTTCTGAGTGCTGGAATTAAAGACTGTGAAATCATTAAGAAGTTATAAACAGGATAAAAAGAAATTAAAAGGGGGAAACAGCAAGTAACTGATTACTGCACATCAATTATGTTAAATGCCAAGGACCAGCCTTGGCTTGGAGAGAAGTTCTTAGAGAACGGTGAAACAAAAGACTCTGAGTCAAATCGAGGGTCCAAGCTCAACACAGCTTTCCAGACTGCTTTTCTTTGTTCTGCTTGAGACAGTTCTCCAAGCAGTTTTCTCTTGCTATTCTAAAAAAATTCTCTGAATAGCTCATCTCTTGTAGATCATAAGCCTGCACGTTTTTGTTTGTTGTTTAATATTGCAAAAGAATTCCGAGATCTGCCAGCCTCTGTTAAGCACAGATGATAAGTAGCTGGGACCCCACCCTGAAATTATACCTGGGCCTAACTTTGCTTTGCTGAAGGCTGACCCTGAATTTAGAAATCTGCCCACCTTGTAAGCATCAACAAAAGATGTAGCTGGGTGGAATGTCCTGTGACTGGTGCTCCTTCCTCAGTATTTGTCTGACAAGTTGGCTCACAGCAGTTGCTTTTGTTCCTTTAGATTCATGAAGCCCCTCATGATTCATATTTTATCTTTATATTTTGCATAATTGATAAATTATGAATCTATCTATCTATCTATCTATCTATCTATCTATCTATCTACCTATCTATGATTTATTTATTTTATGTATGTGAGTACCCTGTTGCTGTCTTCAGATACACAAGAAAAGGGCAATTGGATCCCATTACAGATGGTTGTGAGCCACCATGTGGTTGCTGGGAATTGAACTCAGGACCTCTGGAAGAGCAGCCAGTACTCTTAACCTCTGAGCCATCTCTCCAGCTCCCAAAATTATATATTTTTGAACTCTTGTTTTTTTTGTTTTTTGTTTTTTTTTTTAGTTCTTTTCCACAGCCTTAGGGGCTGTCAAGGTCCCAGTATTTTCCACTTAACTGAGACATTAGCCAAATCTTCGGCTCCCAGACTTGTGCCATCTCTGATTATCATGGAGTCATTAACATTAACAGGGAGGATACTCCATGAAGGATGGACATGAAAATATGTACATTATTATACAAACAAACCTTACACCCACAGCAGCCATCGACACTCGTGTGCCCATGCCCATACCCCGTTGACCCTGTCTTAGGGGCAGGGGCCACTTCATTCCACCCCCACAAAGGCCATGCCAGATTCGGCAGTTAAATGTTAATGGTACTACTTAACCATTACAAGATAACCATTACAGATCTGATAAGAATATGATTCAAGTATACTTGGTTGGGGAAAGCACTAAAAAGACATAGGTTATATATAACAAGTCAGTGGTTACCATCGGCTTTGGGAACTACAAAGGAACATACGGAGAGCGTGAGACTATTGGAATTGTTCTATATCTCACTTTTGATGAGATATTGTTTCCACACTAATTTAACTATACATTTACAGGGTAAATGGTAAGCTATGAGAATTAGACCTCAGTAAGACTTACTTTAAAATAGTAAGTAAAATATGTTTTCCTTAAAAAATTATTAGTAAAACTTGACCCTCTTTCCTAAATTAAAAGTACAAGAAAGAGCAAGAGATCATGAAGCGTTAGTACTCTCTTCTCTTGTCACTGGGTTGACAACACTCCCCACAAGGACCAGGGACTAACAGACCCTCATGCCCAGCATGAGAACCCTTCCATGCTGTTGGTCACAGCAGTACAAGTGATCACCCAACAACACAGGCTTCGTTGTTTCCCTTGATGACCTCTCAGTGGTTGAAGTGAAGCCCCTAGTGCTGAAGAAATAGCATGCTTAGATCACAGGACTTGGATCAATAGAACTGATCTAACATGAATGTCTCCTTCCTGGGATCTAGCTTTCATACTACCAGAAAGAACTATGTCAGCTGCCAAAGGAGGAACACAACTAACAGTCATAACGACCTGCACTGCAAGACATATGTAAAGGTACAACTCTGGATGGTAGTCAACAGCTGTCTAGGTGGACTTATGGAATAGGGGGACTCAATGGGGGGAGAACCTTGTCTAGTGCTGAAGACATAGCCAAGTCTCTAGGACTAGTGAGGCTCTTATAAGAAAATCTACTACCTCCGCCTTGCTAGACCAGCATAACTCCTCAATTACATTCTACAAGCTGTCTTTGCACCAAGAGATGAGTGTGGTTCTTACTCCACATAAATAAATTCTCTCTAAAGCAAATAGAGACCATTACAGAAACTGGATAAAATTCAGAGATGGATGGATTGTGGGAAACTTTTGCCCAATGAATAATTCTACAGCACAGGGAAGATTACTAAGGAGGGAGATGAAAAGATTCAGAATACCAGGAAGGCTGCTGTAATACTGACTTAGAAAGGGTTGCATGAATAAGATCTAAACAATGACAATATCAACGGACATGCTAACAAGGAAGGGGGAAATCTCACAGGGTCCCTCCCCTAGTCAAAGAACTATAGGCTGAGAGACGGAGATTTAGCCTCTCTCAAAGATGGCTATCTTTATTAGTTATCTCATCTAACACAGCTAGCCCTGCAATCATATGTACACACATAACAAGAGTGCACTCTGCAGGCTGATTTACATCTTTGTGCATATATTTACATGTAACAATAATAATTAAAAAAGAGGCTATCAATTTTATAGTAGGGGGTATGGTAGGGGCTAAAAGGAAGAAAGGAAAGGTAGGAAGTGATATAAATATATTTTAATTAAAATGCTCAAAAAATTTTAATTTAAGCATCTCATTTGGTTCTATAAGTTAACTTTGGCTCCTCTTTTTGTTCTCTCTTTCTTTCTCTCTCTCTCTTCCCATACCTTGACTTCCTTCTCTCACACAACACACACACACACACACACACACACACACCCTTTTACAGAATCTTAAAAATTACTGCCATATTCAGCAGTGACACTAGAGGTCCTCAGCTGCATATTATTTCAACACAGACCTCATGGAATTGGAATCAAATGTTTACAGTGACTATTTTCATTAAACCAATTTTGAAACAGTTGAATACAGAAAATTTGTTCTACTTTTATGGTGTGCTTTTATGAATTGACGTGATATTAGATTTGTATGTCAAAAATAGATTCATGTTAAAATGAAGGAGTATATATTAAAATAAATCATGTTAAAATGAAGGAGTATATATTAAAATAAAAATTAAAAGCTAAAATTCATGAAGTTCTTGGCTACTGTTTGAAACTATAGAATTATACTTAATGGGGTCAGGTCATCAACTTAAACAAAACAGTAAATCAGACTTGCCTTTCTGCTCTTATATACACTTAAGGTTTAATTATAAAAATTTATTTTATAACATAAAATAAAAGAAGAAAATATTAGTGTTTAAAATACGTAAGACAATGGTAAATGGTAATTCTGGAACTTTGTATGCTTGTTTTGTTTTGAGATATTTTGAGGGGAAGAGGGTGTTTTTGGACAGAGTTTCACTGCAAGGCCCTTACTGGGCTGGAACTTGCCATACAGACCAGGCTCAACTGAGAGATCCACCTGTTTCTGCTTCCTGAGTGCTGGGATTAAAGGCTGCACTATACTTACTTGTTTTAAAGCTGTTTTTCTTAATATGGTCAATAAGTTTGATGATTAAATAATTTTAAGTAATGTACTTATAATGGCTAAAAGTATCTAATAGTATATTACAGTTCACTTGACCCTGGACAGTAAAAAGGCAGGAGATATGGATGGAACTAGAAATTATCATCCTGAGTGAGGTAAGCCAATCACAAAAGAACACACATGGTATTCACTCACTGATTACTGGATATTAGCCCAGAACCTTGAAATGCCCAAGATGCAACTCACAGGCCACATGAAGTTCATAAAGAAGGAAGACCAAGTGGGGGTGATTCGGTCCTTCTTAGAAGGAGCAACAAAATACTCAAGGGACCAAACATGGAGACAAAGTGAGGGACAGAAACTGAAGGAGGGGCCACCTGAAGACCACTCCACCTGAGTATCCATCCCATGTGCAGTCACCAAAGGTAGATGCTGAT